ATTGTAGGGGCAGAATGACCTAAGGTGACATTTAAAACAATGTATATAAAATGTGCCTCATAGCAGCACATTTATGTATATTTAGGGAGTAATATCTACTTAAGGACTTATTTTAAACATGTCCAGGAGCATTTGTGAGAGGAATAAATGGCATGCATTTCAAAACATGTTTTACTACAGTGTCAACTGTTTTTACTAAATAATTTTAGATGTACTACTTAATGAAGCACTATGTAATTTCACTAGTTGCGGGTGTGCTACCTGCTTGTTTCTGTGGAAATATTGCTTTGCCTTGAATGTTCCATAATATGATATTAAACTTATCTGTCTTACATTTATTCAATTACATGTGATGATGAACGATGTCCCCTCTCCACAGATTTGACTTGTAACTTGGCCTGATGGCATCACCTACATGGAGATTAATACGTTTACTACCATTCTGAAAAATAAGACAGGCAAAGCTCTAGCATCTTCACGGAGATATGCAGCGTAGAAAAGTAAAATAGTAAGTGCACCATTAATAATAAACTTTTCTGTTTGCTAACTGCAGCAATTCTGATTAATCTTGCAGCCCTGTAGCAACAGAATATTGCATAACCCACTTCTTCCACCTCCAGTCCAGGGCTGTGTGCAAAGAAAGAAAAACTGCTGCTGCTACCATACTGTACCTTGCAGCTCGCTTATGAACCCTTCTGGCCTGGTTGTGTCCAATGATCGTTAATCCTTTTGTTTTCAGACTGGAGTTACCCAGAGCGACCCTGGTAACATGCGTGTCTCCTGTGTTACTGAGACTGAACACTTTCACAGTGGAGTGGCCATGTGAGCTGGCAGAGCGTCAGACCCACTCACAAACGCACTCTGTGGCCTCGAATAGATGGAGCAGTGTGAATCCTCAAGCTAATTATGCTTCCTGCTGAGAACTAAATACACAATAGCGATGTGTATGAGGGGTAATTCAAAGGGTCTATTCGCTCGTAAGGGGCCGTGCAACAACTTGACCTTTAGTGAGGTGGAAAAAAGTGTGAAGTTATACATCGCAGCTTTATCATTACACTAATATTATTATTACACTAATATTAGCAAGCATGATGTATCAGAAGTTTAGCAATTTCATTTCACCACTAACAGGAGCTTGCAAATTAGTTTTCTATTCTGAACAGTAACTCCACAGACCTGATTATATTATTAAGTTGTTATTTTAGATATATATAACAACATGTGCATATGTGATAGTTCATTACAAAATACCAGAAGTGAACCTCAGAAATGAAAAAGTTACTTGATGACTTGATGAGTGTCCAGTCCAGGGAACCGAGGGATTACACAGCAGAGATAAAGAATATTGTGTCTTCTTTAATCTTTCTGTGTAAACAGAAAAAGTCATTCAAGTAGTTATTAAGATATTGAACATACAGTTTTGCAACTTTGGGTGTAATACTGTACAGACCTCGTATTAGGACATTTTTAAGCAGCCAATAAGTATGTGTTAGTCCAACTGTGGTCTGTTTGATCTGTGGATTAAAGACAGTTAAACTATTGGGGAGATGTTTCTCATGAGCCGGGCTTTGCTGCGGTGTGCCCTCTGCATGTGTGTGACACTGAGGCATCCCCACTAACTGCCTGGATGCACTCAAGCCTTCATTTTTCTACATCTGATTTATAGTTTTCACTCCACACAAACCAGGCACCCGGGCCTAAAAATACCCACAGTGTGAGAGAGATGTCCCGATACAGAGCCGTGGGAACAGGCCAGGGGGAATTGAGGGGCCAAAGTCTATGTTTTGGTTTGGTTGTTGCAGCAGGACCACTTCAGGGACAGGCGTTCTGTGGGAAACCAGGGTGTCCCCAGAGAACAGCACCCATGTGAGTTTTATAACACGTTTTGTGAAGTTTACTGCCGTATTTTTGTTGTATTTTAATAGCATTGGATTATATTTAATAAAGATGAAATTGTGAAAGATAAGATGCATTTTGTGAAGACACACTAGTCTGGACTGACAGTCAGACTAATCATAAAGATAACAATGGCTAATTAATGTCTTAAGGTCTTAATGTCAGATCTTGGCCAGCCAGGTAAACAGATCTCTGCGATTTGGTTCTGTAATGACACTTTGTGACTGAAGCTCATATTTGTTGTTGTAGTTGTTGTTAGAGTTGTCATAAAGATACTAATTTATACTAAAACTAATCACATAAGTAGTTTTAGAGTGGCTTCTCTCAGTTTAAGACCACATGTTAATTTTGTGTTGACAATAAGTCTGCTGTCATAAAAATGTTTTTATTTTTCTTAGAATCAAATTTGATTTAGTTTAGTTTAGTCAAGTTAAGTAAAGCCCCTACTTAAGCACTGCCATTTAAGTATTAGGTCTTTGGGCTTGAAAATGTATAGCTCGAGTTTTTGTCTTGATATCTCTCTTGGCCCATTATTGACCGTTTTGAAAAACATATGATTGTTACTTTTTGATTTATATGGCTGAAGACCAACAAAATATAGGAAAGCTGGTCAAATATTTTCTTTGGTAGAGACGCACATTTCCCAGTGCCTTATGGTGGATTAGTGTGAGTTGGTAGTTAATGGAGGTTAACAGTAGCTGGCTTTACCGCACTTTGATCATGACCCTGAAGGCAACACAAACCCTATTCTAATCCACAATAATAGACCAGAGCTTGTGTTCAGCTAAAGCCAGGTATCATTGTTATTGCACTTGTTTCCAATAAAAACAAAACACGAGCTCATACCCTCCACAGTGGCTGACAGCAGCTGAGTTAACTTCCAGATTTATTAGCCTGTGTGAGGTCAGAGTGCAAAGGTCGGATCTTTGAGTTCTTCCTGTTTGTCTGATGAAGAATATCATATAGACACAAGATCTTATAAAATTTTCAAAATTACTGCTCCATTCAATTACAAAAAATTTTATTGAGAAATTAATAATTAAATTTATGTTTTGAATGATATAATGATATTATGTTTTGAATGATATGTTTTGATATATCTTTCCCTGCAGCTTTTAAAACATAAATGATAAAATAACAACTGTACTTGGTAGATTGCCAATATATTTCCTCAGCATTACTTTCTTTGATCAGCTGATCAAAATCAAAGGCTGGGGAATGAGGAGTACTGGTTCAATAATGTGATTTTTAGGAGTATAGATGGCGAGAACAGGCAGATGTAGGAGGACTGATTGCATGCTTTGGGAGTGACAGACAGGAGTGTGGCAGCAGCAGCAGAGTAATTACTATTTACTTTGGACACACACGGTACACTGCGAGGACTTGCTTTCTCAGCTCAGTTTGAAAAGGAACAAACTCAGAGGCAGTACAGTTTGTGGTATCTCAATATCATAGTAGCAGAAACAACACAGTGAAAAGAGCAGTTTAGCTATGGAGATATTTTAACTAACCACTGTTTGTGTAGTCTCTGATTTATGTTTTTCTATGGTAAATCAAGTTTTCTAAAAGCTACAAAATAGATGTACAAAAAGACAGATAATTTGATTGTGTGGTGATATGAGACAAATATTTCTCTTCCGACCTTTCAACTGGAAATCTGGAACTGTTTATAAATTCACTATTTGAGCATAAATTTGAAACTATTTTTTAAACTTCTTATTCAACTGTGTACTTCAATTTAAATAAACTTTGTTTGTCTTGCTTATGTTCTGTAGCTGTGTATTGCTGAAAGCTGCATTGTAACTTCTCATTTTGACGAGTCTATGTTAACTGTTAGCAGTGCTTGACCAGCTGGGCCTGTAATGCACAAGCAAATATTTTGATAGTGAAATCAGTCTCACACCCTAGTTTGCTCAAGTAAACTGCTTTCACTCTTTTATAATATTCAAAGGGCAGTGCATCAGTGTTTATTACTTAAATATTTGTACTTTTATTTCCCAGGTTGAGTCTTAAATTCAAAACATTAACCCTCAAGGACGTGAATGTTGTGTTCCATATGCACAAAAAGGAAGTACCATTTTAGTTGAACAGGACCCCCACCTGTTCTCCTAATGTGTGAAAAAGTGGACCTCTGGACTTTCAGTTTTTAAAGGTTAAGTGTTGCTGTTGGCAGTGCAGAGGGGCTCAGTTCAGACACTACGTGAATTGAATTTCCTTCTCACATTTTTAGGAGCTGGACTTGATTCTCCCTGAAAAAAAGGCTTCATTTATTGGTCTTGGTCTCCTCTTGGGCAGCTGTAAGAGTTTTCACAGTGCTCCTCTAGTCCCCTAGCAGTCCCCTAACTACACGCACACACACACACACACACACACACACACACACACATACACACCATACACACACACGTGCATGGTCCAAATGACAGACCTCCAGACCACAGGGATCTAATTGTAGCGCTGCAGCATATGTGCTTGTGTTCTCTTCATGTGTTTCTATGTAGGCCAGGCACATGCTGATCTGTAATCTTTCTTGTGCATTTGTGTGTTGTGCATATGTGTCTTGGGTGTATGTATATGTTGGGTAGCTGCCCCTCTCCAGAGAGAAGCAAAGGGGGGGGGGGTGACAATAGGATTTCTTCCCAGGAATAGCACAGTGAGCCCTGGGCGACGCTGTGGGTCGACTGGGTGAACACTGGGTGTCACAGTCACAGTGTCACTGGGGAGAGGAGGTGATTAAATGAATTATGTGGGGTCATAATGAGGAAATAGATGTTTTTCGTTTAATAGATTAGCTAATGAGCTTGTTTTCTTTCTGTGGTTTTGTCTTAATCTTGTACAACAGTAAAAATGTATATCATATCTAACTACACAGCATTTTAAAGTAAATTAGTTTTAATCAAGTAGTTTGGTATGTTGGGGCAGGCGCCAGTTCATGCACAGAGCAATATCTGAGAACTTAATTAATTTTAGGCAACCTGCTGTTTTCTATGACCTTGATTCTTCATTTTATCTTCTTTGTGCTTATGTTGAAGTGGCTTGCAACAAGAGGGAGCTATCACCTCACACAGTGTAATCTGATGCATGTTTGTTGTGTTCTCTTTCAGATGGAGCAGTTGTCAGATGAGGAGGTGGAGGTGAGAGAGGAAGATGGAGATGAGGAGGAGGATAGTGATAAAGAGGATCAAGATCTGGATAAGATGTTTGGGGCCTGGTTAGGAGAGCTTGACAAACTCACACAGGTAATGGAACAGTCCTCCTTTAACTTAATAAAATGTACCGTCTTCTACCATTATGGATTTGAAATGTATGCATATAAACAAAGCAATTTCTTACATTTTGATTGAGGATTTATTTAGTGGTAAGGTAAAATTGACAACAGTGTTTTCAGTGTACAGTCTTTTCTGTAATGTTTTGCAACAGTGTTCTTTATTACCTGCCAAATCTAGAATAACATGCACAAATCTAATTCAATATTGAGCTGCTTTATATCTGTGCCCTTGATAATGTACTGTTCTAGCCATAAATGTGTCCGATTGAAATGATACTACACCTCATAAGAAGATTAATTAAGTCTATTCAGAGTACATAAATTTCTTGTAATTGACTTGTGACATAACCTGTACTTAATACGCTTCTGTGAAACTGATAAAGGACCAAGTCTCCTTTACTGTCTCCTAGAGCCTGGACGATGGCCGCCCCACTGACCGCTCCAAACAGCAGAAAGCCCCTCTCAGGCAGGAGACAAACATGGCCAACTTCTCATACAGATTTTCAATATATAACATCAATGGTATGACTTAAATGCAAATCTAGCACTAAAGAATCAATATGCATAACTAACATTTTAAAACCACATTTTCCTCTGCAGAGGCATTGAACCAAGGAGAAAATGTTGACCTGGATGCCCTCATGGCCGACCTCTCATCCATTGAACAAGAACTCAACACAATCAACACCAAACCTGGCGCTGGTGGTATGGCTCGACTTGGGCTCACAGACACAAAGGTACAAAATTTACCCATTCATAGGGGTGATTTGAAATTAAGATGTTAAAACAAAATATATATATAGTAAAAGGGAATGCTCCATGGACCTCCAAGCAGTATTTTTTTTTTATAAAAATCAAGGCAAAAATATATTATAAAAATATAAAAAAATCATTAAAATATTTTTAATAAGGTTCTTTCATGTAAACAAACAATATTAAACCTGATTTAATATGCTTTTCTGGTTGAATTAAAACTGGCATCATTTCATTCCACAGTGGGGGTCCCAAGTTATTTGCTATTTTGGGGGGGTTGCCTGTGTTGGAGTAGTATCTGACAGTAGTATCTGCTTCCTTTGTGTGCAGGTGCGTCAGAAGCCTCCCGCAGGTCGCAGTAGCACAAGGCAGACAGCAGGGGGCAGTGGCATCAACAGTGTGAGTGGAGGAGGCACCAGCAGTGGGGCCAGCAGCAGCAGTAGCAGCACCAGAGCCTCACCTGCAGGAACCATCCGAGCCGCCCCAGGGCATCATGGGAGACCGGCGCTGGCTTCCAACTTCAGTCTGGATGACATCACAGCTCAGCTGGAGAAGGTGAGGGAGTATGAAATTAGGCTATATTTGAAAGAAAAGTGAACTTACTTGTTACTTTTTAATTAGGTGTTCCAACTTTCCCATTTTCATCACTCTCAAAGAAATGATTACCAAAAATATTGCATCTGTTGCATCTATGTATTGCATCTATATTCTAGCTATTTTATATTGACAGTGGACATTTTGGTCAAGGATTGCAAATGTTACTTATTAAATAACATCTGCAATCAATAAATGGGTCTCACAGACCTCAAGACAGAGCTTAAAAGTAAATGTTAGTGCCAGCATTTTCCCAATTTTCCCAATAGCTACTGAGCATGTTTTCTGTAGAGAAAAGTAATTTAAATAATTTTCTTTGGAAAGGACAAAATGTATATGCATAAAGTATTATAATGTGGGAGATATATACCACAAACACCAAAAATGTCTCATTGGATGCTTCGGTGCCTGTTCTTTAGGCGTCTCTGAGTATGGATGAAGCTGCTCGGCAGACCTCCTCTCACTCTCTAAGCTCCGCCTCCTCCTGCACCTCAGCTCCACTGCGTCGCCCTGGGTCCTCTGCTCGCCAGCACAGACGCACAGGTTCAGTGGGCACCGTCAGTGAACATGAGGTAAATGGACCCCTATACATATTCCAGTATTTATGCTTAAATCATGGAAATTTGCTAGTTAATAAAGGTTTAAGCCATGTTATAATGTTGTTACCTCCTCATACCTGGAGCTGTGTTTTGTTTCACTAACCCTTTATTATGTGTCTGTCTACATCTCGAAAGCTCAAAATGCTCTCTTTCACCTTGTAAGGTGTATGGAGTTTAAAAACACAGTGGAGAACATCCTCTATTACCACAGGACATCAAAAGGTGGAACAGTTTTTTCTGTTTGAAAAAGTAACTCTAAATATGCAGGGTTTGTGTTGAACGTGTGAATGAAACAAAACTACAACTCCAGGTATGTTTTCGAGGAAACAACTTTATAACATAGATCAGAGAATAGTGTAATATACAAGTCAAAATGTCAACTGAATACTATTGATGAAATAATGACCTTTTATTACGCTTGTGAGATAAATGTAAATGTGATTGTATTATGATAGAAAATGCCCAGAGTATTTTTGCCACACTTTTATTTATTTTAATGATTTGTTGAATTTGCCTCATCTCTCAGGTGCGTTCAATTGTCCAGTCATCCCGTTCATCTGTCACCTCAGCGTCAGGTGTCTCTGTGAACTCTGCTTCCTCCATGGACTCTTTGGACAGTGTTCTCCGAAATGAAGATGGACAGAGCTCAAAGGGGCCAGAAGAGGGCGCCGGACACAGCAGCACAGAGGTATGCGTCACAGAATCATGTTTATTTGTTACACAGTTCACCTACGGTGTTATCCTACTTTTTCTTATGAATGATTCTTTATGCATTAATCTGCTTTATTGACCTCACCACCTGCCAACTGACTGGGGCTTTTCATTCAAGCTGATTATAATTTTCTGCCAAAAATGCATTTATTCAAACAGAAAACTTGTATATAGGTTTGCTGGAGCTATGAATTGCTGAGATTCAGCTCTAATACTTGGGTTTAAAACTGTTAAACAACCTGTCATTTTTATTCATTCAATACATTTATTTGCAAATGTAGTTCTGTATGCATCAAGCATGCAGTCTTACTCCATTTTGCAATGTTAAGTCTTTACTTTATCCAATCTGAAATTAAATATTTTTTCTGTTTACCTTATCAGTATTCTCCCAATTTATGATTTGAAGTGTTTTACAAAGAAACTATATATTAAACAGGGTTCAAACAGTAAATGTGTCAAAGAAGGTTCAAATTGTTCAAAAGATTCAGTTTCATTAGATGCTACAAAGATCTGATCTGTTGCTCTGTTTTAATCTGTCCATCCATATATGACAGTAAATAGGAGCAGGCTAACAAGATTGCAAGTGAGGTAGAGGAAGCTAAAATGCACAAATGAGTGACTAGAATAAAGTGGTTAAATGAGACAAAGGAGCAGAGTGACTCAGCAAGCTTCTGAAATAAGAGTCAATGGAGAGATAATACAAGATATAAAGTTTTAAATCAACCCACTAAACACCCTAATTCACACCCTCTCATAGATCCCTCTTATCTTACATAATGACTCCTTGAAATTAGGTCATATTTCAACAAGTAATCTTGTTTAATTTTGTCTTGCTGATTAGTGTGAGAGTGTCATAATGTCTCTAAATAGAAAAAGGGTTGGTTCTTGATAACACATTAAAATCATTGGCCAATTATTACTAATTTATTACTACAATTATTATTACTAATCATTTACAATACTCCAAAAGGTGTTGACACAAGCACATTCATTGAATCAGAGATAAATATTGTTTGGAGACATTAGTGAGGTTCATAGAAAACAACACTGAATTCTTTTTTCTTGCATTTTTGCTAAAGATCAGATCTTAGAGTATTGTTTTCAACTGACCTCCATTAGCTATCAGCTATTCTTCCTGGAGACCTGTGTAGCATGTGTTTTGGGTTGAGGAGGAAACCCACCCAGACATGGGGAGTGAACATGAAAAATCCACACAGAAAGGCCCGGGCGACCCAGAAATCAAACCCGGAACCTTCTAAGACATGAGTGCTAGCCACAATTATTATTACAGCATGCATGTATGTATGTATGTTGTTTTAGTTTTAGGGAAATTGTATTTAGTCCTAAAATCTAAATCCTTCTTTAAAATAGGATATTTAATGATAATGATTAATCCTAGAAAATTCAAGTATTATCGCTATATTTTTTCTTAATGTATTAGTATTAGTTCAAACTCTCTAGTTTTTGGAAAAGTCTGAAAACATTTTATATTTGGGAATGTTCTGATCACTCTAGTAAAAAAACAAAACAAAAACAAAAACTCTTAAAGCACATTTTATCAGTGCAATATTTACATTTAATATAGTTTAAGAAATGTTGATGTCGTCTTCTGTGTGTCACCTGTTCACTTGCAAAATCAATGTTCGACTTATGTTTTAACTCAACTGCTGCCCACTTTATTTGCAATTTCCCAGCCTCACCACCTCCTCTCTGCCAATCCACCAATGATGCGCACACCTGATTCACTCACTCTGGACTTTGTATCTGTTTTTCTCTGTCCTTTTAAAGCACTCCTATCTGGACAGGGAAACCTCACTGATTCTGAAAAATATAGCAGGAAAGCCCACCCACCTCCTGACCAAGGTGACGCCAAAATCACTACAAACGCACGCTACGGCCGCTCCTCTCGCTTGCATCAGTTTGAGTGCATGAATGAACAAGTTTGCATGTTAAATTATTGTAAGTCTTGCATGCTAACCCACTTGCATGCTCTCTTTTCTGTATATCTCTTAATGTGATTCATGTTAAGCATTTGGGGCAGTTAATGTCATGTGTTTTTTATTGTCATACCTATTCTCAAAGCTTTAACATAGAAAATACATTATGTAGTTTATGTAATTGTGGGAAGCGTAGCTGATTAAAGCCCACAATCTGGTACAGTTTACTTTGTCATACTGTGTAACTGTGTCAATGCCCGTAAGGCTAAATAGCTCAGAATGCCTCCCATGTATTTTTAAAGCTGTTTGTATTGAACTGAAAAGGCTACAAGGAGTCTCCAGATCCATTATAAACCACTTAAAACTCCAAGTCATCCTTCAAATGCAGCATTAACCTGCATCAAGTGTAAAGCTTTGAGAATATGACTATTGATTTTGTCTGGTGTAAGGCGTATTATGTAAAACCATGCATGACTTTTTAATATGAACTTTGCATATATTTTGTATTAAGTTGTGGGATGAATTCAGTTAGAAACCTCTTTTCATTGTCCTGTGCATCTTAACAAATTTTAACTCCAACCATTTTATTACATTTTGATGGTAACAAATCGGTGTCTGCTTAGTTTTGCATAAAAACACCATATTCTGAAAATTAAGCTGCACTATACAACGTTTCTGGTGGAGGGTTCGCCCACTGCTTGTCACAATGGATATGTTATTGCTTTGCCTGAAAGAATCCACAGTATGGCATTAGTCTTACCTATCTCCATGGAAACAAGCAGGCCAAGTTACAGGTCAGTAAACAGGTTTGTAAACCTTGTTCACATTGATGGTCATTTTCATCAATACAATACCAAACTTTATTGAAATTGATGCTATAGATAGTTAAATGCTGCGAAATATTCTAGGTTAAAAGCAATAAGATCTCCATGCAGATGAACAAGTGACATGCCTCCATCAGAAAAGCTACATAGTGCACCTTTTAATAGTTGAATTGTGTGTATGCGTGGTGATCATGTTCCTGTGGAGCAGTGAGTGTGACTCCAGATAAACCAGCACGCTAATGGGAGTTAAGCAGGTTTGTTTTGTGCCTGTAATGTGTTTGGAGCTGAGCCAGTTAAAGTAATAGAGATTAGGCCTGTGCTAATGCTGATCAATGCCATAATGGCACAAGCTGAGGTCTAATTGTTGTTGTTCAGAGCTGGTGCAGGTCAGGTGCCCTCTGAGGCGGGCACTACAAGTTTATCACAACTTTGTTTTAGAGAAGTAGATCATGAAGAAATGTGTTAGGAATGATCAGAAGTAGCATCAGTTGAAGTACATGCTTGGTGTAATTTCTGGGTTAGTGTGTTGTAAAATAGTCTTGCAGTGAGTCAGCCTTTGGAGTAGGTATAATAATGGTTTTGTAAGGATATTTTCAACATGCATTGTTAATGTAGTTATTATTCAAATAATATTGTAGTTAATTACCAACTAATAAAAATAGTATGTATTCAAGTGCATTTATATTGAATTTGTATCACAGGATGACATCATAATATGCATTAATACGTGGACATGGAAACGGCTTAAGATAAAGCTGTAGGCTGCTTAATGCCTAACATTTATGTTCCTGTCACACTGGGGGTGTTAGATACAGATTAAACAATAAGATTTTTAATGATTGGAACACCCATGGCATGATTTGATTGGATGTTGATGTAGATGATGCCGGGTGATTGGCTGACACAGAGAAACGTGCCAGATTGGTGCGTATAATCCTCTTTGGTTCAGAGAGGGGTCATTCCCATGTTGTGTTTCATGCAGAGCTTGGTCCACACTTTGTCATACGGCTGGCATCTGGCCCCAGATTCTGGTGTTCAGATCATTATACTATGGCTTAGCAAAATAATTTGGTAATTTGCAAACTGTCCTGTCGATGTAGATGATGGTGACAAAAATAAATATACAGATTTTTTTTTATTTTCTTAAATGATAATCGATCAGAAATGTGCTAAAATGTCTTGGTTGAGAATACAGTATTGAACAGATAAAAAAGCCATTGTCAGTGAAGAAAATCCACAAACCAGAAATGTGCTTCATTGATAAGGTACAACATAAAACTAAGACTGTTTATCGTAAATGTACTAAAAATATAAAATAAGATCAAATAAGGTCTGTATTTGCTTGTAATAACACAATAACTAAATAACTATAACTGTGAGTCAAACCCCAGTGGATTTCTAGTCAGATTAATGCTGTACTTTTAAGATCCATTTATTTCTCTGGGCAGCTGTTACTCCCATACAATCTTGTTTTCTCTGTAATCTGCAAGTAGAGGATTCTTATGGCATTGATGGTAGCTGCAGTGAAAAACGTGAGCTCCAGATTAAAACAGTGGTCAGAGGCGGAGGGAACCCTGAGATTCCAGATTAAGATTATAGTCCGAGGGGCCAGTCTATGTCCTGTAGCAGTGATTAGTTTGAGGGTGTAATTATTTGTGGTCATTACAAAGGATTGCAGGGTACAGCTGTTAGTACTTATCGTATGTGTGAATATATACAGTATGTAGTGCAATGAGAGCTCATCTTTCTGTGTCAGTGTTACAGCAATAACTGCAGTCATTTACCCACAATGCATTTCTGCCGACCCATTTCTGCTGCATATAAGTCTGCTGCTGCTCTGAGAGTACGGGTGCTCAGGAGGGACACACAGTTTATAACTTCAAAGGGAGCCAGTGCATTCCGGGGCGTAGCTAATTTTAGAGCTTCTATTATGTAGGTCAAGTGAATATCTATGAGATGCGGAGAAACTGTTTACCCTGCGAGCGACAGATGACGCCGAGTTCAGCAGAGGGGGCTGTGTCATCGCAGATATTCTGCAAGAAAGAAGAGAAAGAAAACATCAACATATAGTGCGCTTCCTTAGTTATTTTGGACCAGTCTGTGTCATTTGGTATTAGTGGTTTATTATTACACATTGAGGTTAAGGTATTATTTACTGTCCCTGTAGGGAAATTTGTCCTCTGCATTTGACCCATCTTGCAGTAGCGCTGGGGCATTCAGGAACAGTGGGTGACTTCAGAGCAGAGCATGGGGTCTCATCTCCAGATCTTGAGCTAGACCTGTTCAGTACTACCTTAGCTGAGTCAAAACCTTTTTGTGAGACGAAAGTGTTAGCTGCCATGTCACAAAAGTACATCTTTTCCGAATTTTACATGTTTTTGAGGAACAATATAGTTGGCATCAGGTATGTTGTACTTGTAATAGTACTAGTAGTTTAAGTAACAACACTATACTATTATATAATACAGACTTGGACTGCACTACAGTTATACCTGCAGTTTAATTGTTAAGTGCAGATGATTAATTATAAAATTATGTCATAGTTAATCTTCAGAGATTTGGAAGTTAGTCATTTTTGGAGCTTTTAGTGAAAGCTGTCATTATGTAAGGCCATTGTTTACCCATTAGGAAGCAACTGTTTTACATAATCGGTTAATTCAGATTATTATGTGGGAAAAATAATTAAGATGGACAAAAATATCACTGTTATTTTAAACAATTTGCATAACACATTATGCAGCATGCCACCCAATGTCAACGCAAAGTTCTGCATGAAAAGAAAAAATAGTGGTGGATGTCCAAAACTAAAAAACAGTATAAAACAATACTGAATTAGACAGGTTGTTTAATTATTTACTCTCACATTGCTGTTCATGTTTTGTATTGCATCTGTACTTCCATCTCTAAAAGACTAAACAGAAACTAGAGTTTACCATAATGCTCTCAGCTGTCTGAATGGCTATCCGCTTATGAAAAGTGGGGCTACAGTGTTTGCTGGTGCAGTCATTCGGGGATTCAGGGGTGGGGGTGCACATAAGGAGATTGGCTGAGCTGCTCTTCCTGTCATTCTGCCCTTTCGCTGCTTCACAATTCGCCTCCTGCGGAGTGTGACTTAGAGCGACTCTTCTGGGCCATATACACAAACTCTAATTCATAGTGACTTAAAGGAGATGGGTGCGAGCTTGGTGTCACTAGTCGAGATCCATACTAGTAGCATTTTAACTGGGCTGTACAGTAGACAAAAATATATAATAACTGTGTGTATTATTGGTGATGACTTCTCAGGATATTAGTTTTTTAATCCCTGTTGTGGAAATAATTGATAAGACCAGACACATGTATTTTGCTTCCCCATGAACATGATTAAGTAGGTGTAGGTGGTGTGTTATGATGCTTAGTAATCCCCACACTCCCCCTTTTTTAATTTTTATTGAAAATACACACTATCTGGAGTCCAGTTGACAGTGGACAAAATATTAAGTTATGTTAATTTTCTTTACTGAGCCTATTTTAATACTGATTAACTGAAGACCTGAACATCACTACATGGCATTGATTGTGGTAGAAATCATGTTAGTTGAAAATTCATAATGTGCAGCCTATATTTATGTTCAGAAACTAGTAAAAACAGAGGAGGTGCAGTAAGAACAGTTAAAAGGAGGAGTGTTTTTCTTTTTTTCAGACCTTGAGATAAAGAGATCACTGCCTCTGCATTGGAGTTGGCACTGCACATGGCCCCTCCCCCATCCCATCTCTCTCGCTCCTCTTCTGTTCATTCCTCTCACTCGTCTCCATCGAGCAGAGAGGATGTAACATAGCACCAGGTAGCGATGCTGCCTTTTGGATTTTTGGTTTATCAGCGCTGGATTCGTTTTTTAGCTAGATAAAATGCTTGTGGATTGACTGTTGTTTTTTGAAGATTTTTGCATTATTTCATATCTTACATTTTCTGATGTTTTTTGTTTCTAGATTTGAGCCAAATCCCTCACAGACCTCGCTAGCATCTGATCATTTTGGTTGGATAGTTTTACTGAGGTCAATAAACTCGACGCGTGCAGAGGAAAAGTAGATGAGTAGAGATTAGAGCACTTGGAGGCGACTGGAGGACTCCTGGTTGTTACTTTATAGTTGATGTTGTTTATGATTCAAATATCTGTGTAGGCATGGTTTGGACTTGGGTCTAATCCCACTACAGGGAAACAATGTCAGTCTGGCAACATGTAGTGCGCTGGCATTAAACCAGAAGTATCACAACGATGGCGATTATGAAGAGGAGGAGAAGGAGAAGTGTTTTGCACTGTTAAAATTTTTGTTTGCAATTTTCAGACGTTTTTATCTAATCAATCATTTGGCTTTTGCTTGGTTGTTTAGAAGGTGGAACCCAAGATGGATTGAGGAAATATTTAGATAATTTAATAATCATCTAGTATCTTATTTTTTTAAGTGGAGCTGAACTGGGACTTTTGAGAATTGCACTGCCTGCTCTTGCCTTGGAGTTGATTATATAGTTGGATGTTACGAGTTTGATGGACTCAAAAATTATCTAGAAAAATAAATATATATATTTATGTAAAGTTATATATTTTTTATTAAAATTTTGATTTAAAGTCTTGTGCATTGCTTGTATATAGGTTTGTGTAATTGGTTGATGGACTGTAAAAATATTTTTAATGGTATGTGTGATATGATATTCTGGAATTAGAAAAAGGAGTTGTTGTCCGTAACAATAGGCAGACACAGATTTGATATCAAAGCTCCAATAAAATGAATGCCTGTTGGAGAAATCAGGTAAGTGAGTCATTGTAAAAATGTGTGTTGAAATGTAACTCTACTTCATTGTATTAACTTTTAACTTTGATTGCATATTGTGTTCATGCAGGAGGAACAAGCTGCCAAGCTAAAGGCCGAAAACATCCGTGTGGCTCTGGAGAAAATCAAGGAAGCCCAGGTGAAGAAGGTGAGTCATGATGGTGCATGATGGGTAATGAAGTTCAGCACATGTGTACCAGTATGCAAGATGAAAAAAATGTAAAAGATCCTATGTGTGTGAAATGTCTGGCACGTGTCCAACTGCCTGGCATTTCTGGGTCAGGTCAGTGTTACTGTGCAATGGTCAGTAACAGCTGGGGTCAGCACACACAGACAGGAGCACTCAACATAATGAACAGTGCAAGCTAAGTCCCAATTCCATATACACAGGGAGAAGGAAAGAGGGAGGAGGGAGAGAGCATGAAAGAGAGAGACAGGGTGGGTGATAAAGAGAGGAAAGGAGAGAGGTGGATTACAGATGAGAATTACTACTACAGAAGCAATGACAATCTGATATCTAGCTACCTGTTCATGTAACTCAGTTATGTAGGTTCTCTACAAAGCTTTAAAAACTGAGCATATTAGCAACTGTTTATTGAATTTAAAGGCTATATTTAAAATAATGTTTTCTGTAAACTGTAAATGTTTGCTTCTGTACCAGTTCTTTATAATAATTTTTTTTTTTACAAATTTTAAAATATGACAATAGAATGTTGCCTTTAGATCTGAAATATGGTCAAATGTAGCACTGAAATCGTGTCATTTTTATTATTATTTATGATTAATGTGATGTGAAACCTACCTGGATGACATATACACATATGATATGTGTTTACCATACAGCTATATTGTATACCATATTTGTGCACAACATAAGACACAGGCAGATTTGCTTTGTAGCAGAACAGAATCTACTACATGTTTTTGATATGAAATACTACTACTCCTCCTACAAGCTCCTCCTTGGCTTAAATATTGCATGGGGGTATAGTAATGTTCAAAATATAGGTTATACACTTAAAGACTGTGTATAAATGTTTAAATAGAATCACATGTTACTATATCTGCTCCATAGTCTGGCACTATTCCTGGCAGTGTGCAGTAAACCAAGTCTCAAAGCTTTCAACACACTCTCTGTATGGTTTGCTCTAGTTTTTGTATTTCTCTCAGTCTCACAGTTATTCAGTGTCTGCACATCTTGCAATATAGAGGGCTACTGCTCATAATAATTTGAAATGTTTTGGGTTATCTATAATGATGTATTGTGTTGTGTCTTATTTTCTGTAGTTGGTGATCCGTGTTCATTTGTCAGATGAGAGCTCCAAGACCATGATGGTGGACGAGAGACAGACTGTCAGACAGGTGAGATCAGAATATATACTTTTACCATGCATAGCCTTTTGGCATAATAGGCATAAATTAATTGACCAAATACACATAAACAGTGGTAGTAGTAATGAGTTTATTGTTGTTCTACAGGTTCTAGACAGTCTGCTGGACAAGTCTCACTGTGGTTACAGTCCAGACTGGTCTCTGGTGGAAACCATTAATGAGCTGCAAATGGGTAAGCAACTAAGCATTTGGGTTCTCTATTATCACAATCCAGAGGTTGTGTCAGAATCTAGACAGCTAATCATTTTTATGGGTAAATAAGTAGTAAGAAGTCTTTTTAAGACTGAATAGATCTCAAATTATTTTATCCACTATAAACAAGATTGCACAATTGTTGCTTAAAAGACATTGTAATCTGATGTTTGCATTTTGTGATTTACTATTTGTTGCATAGATCAGTTTACTTCACTTTGTTTTACTTGACCAAAATGACACTCAAAACTGTTAACTGAACATTTACAGTAACTAGTATTGAAAGGATGGACTGGATATGAGCAAAACACTGACTAAATACTATTGTAAAAGATTCATTATTTTTTATGGGTATAGCCAAAGGAGTAGATTGGTCTTTACCAACTAATGGATCTCAAAGTAGTTTATTCCAAGGTTAAACTGTTTACATTATAGAGCATTATAGGACGCTTAGAACTCATACAACAGCTGTGGAATCTTTTGGATCAATGCAAAATAAATTCCTTGTTTCTAAGTAGACCAAAGTGCTTTGAGATGTCCAGGTGAGCAGAGAGGAAGTGAGCTCTTGAAACACATTTAGGCTCACACGCACACATGCGTTATACGTAGGGTTTCAGTGCCTTTGGGGACATTTCATTGACTTACATAATTTACTGAGAGACTGATCCTACCTTAAAATTACTACTTACCTAACTTTTTCAGATATTTTTCAGATATCATTATTTTACATTTAGTTTATTGTAAACCCTAATAGAAACTGGTCATTCACTTCCTATTCAAAACTGCCCTACTGATAGGCCCTATCTCTACATAATGTCCAAAATATCCAGTAGATTTTCAATTACTTGCTTTTATTGGGTTTTTTTTGTTTGTTTGTTTGTTTTTTAAATACTTGCAAGTAAGGCTGATGATGTGGTTGTAGGTAAAAACTGCAACTTTCTGAGCACTTTTCTGAATGCAATACAAAAGATGATTCCTCCTCTGTGTCCCCATAAAGGAGGCAGTGGGTGTATACACAGATTTTAGTTCCACACAAAGTGATAAATGTCTCCCCATGTGTTCAGGGGAGGGAGTCATGTGCTTCCAGGACTCAGAGTACAGCAGACTTCAGTTCCTCTCACTCCTCTGTTTGACACACACACACACAGAGTTATAATCTAGGTCCTGGGCAGCGACGCATGTGATCTAACCCACATCTTCAGGCACATACAACCACTCAGCATCATTATGAAACCAAGTGGCCTAATCTACTAGTAATCTGATGCCTTCTACAGATCTACTCCACGAGTAAAACCGAGGCTTGTGCCCAAGATTCAGACTTAGAAAGATATTTTTGGACTGTAGTTTGATCAATTAAATAAGTTAATATTGGTAGCTTTAGGGGGTGCTCAGACCAGTAGCACTTTCACACTAACACACAAACACACACACCAGTGCTACCAGTCCTCTGCTGTTAGACCTCAGGCAAAATAGATTTTCAGACTGTGACCTCCAAAGCAAATTACACTATTTTACAGTTCAGTTAATAAAATGACCTTTAAATTATTTTCCAGAAGATTTAGAGCAATTATATATGTAAACATATATTTGTTTGAGTGAAAAACTTGGAACTAGGAAAAGCAATATACATACCTTTTTGGAATTTTTCTAATTACACATAATCAACAAGAGTGCACTTGGGAGGGGGGAAGGAAGCTATCCTGTGTAAAAATAAATGAGAATGGATTTACTTTACCAAACATACCCAAATATTGGAAGTAGGTCAAAGCTGACAATATAAGCATTTTTATTGGTAGCAATTCTGTATTGAAAGAGCTCGACAAAAGCAAAGAGACATTACATGAGGCATTGAGGACAAAGTATAGCCAAAAGCCATATTTTGGGACAGAGTTATTGTGTGTCAATGGGACACTTAAAACCCATACACACACTGAGGAGAACTACTAACAATGCAGTCGTGTTTTTGTTTTGGTTCTTCTATTAGGTTGATCAGTAGTTGACTAAAAATAAATGTGCTATGCTTTGCTATTCAGATTGTGGCTCAAGGAACAAAACATTTATCTCCAAATCTGATCAAAACCTTGAGTGTTAATTATTAAAAATAAGCTAATTACAATAATTTTTTGTGTAGAGCGTATTTTTGAGGATCATGAGAACTTGGTAGAGAACTTACTCAACTGGACCAGAGACAGCCAGAACCGCCTGATGTTTACTGAACGTATCGAAAAGTACGCAGTGTTCAAAAATCCCCAGGTAAGAAACACATTTTTGTTGTAGATTTGTCTACATAGATGTCACTAGGCATTTTAATCCCATATTTCTTTTCACCCTGAAGAACTATTTGCTGGGCCGTAAGGAGACATGTGAGATGACTGAAAGAAACAAAGAAGCTCTATTGGAGGTAATGTGTTTTTCCACAGTTATTTCCGCTATCAAACTTGATAATTGACAATCAAATGAATTTAAATGATGTTTTAATAACAAGCCCCATTTTGTATATACATTAGGAGTGTTTTGGAGGCACCTCTGTTTCTGTTCCTGAGATGGAGGGAGTACTGTGGCTGAAAGAAGACGGCAAGAAATCGTGGAAGAAGCGATATTTTCTGCTGAGGGCATCTGGTATTTACTACGTCCCCAAAGGAAAGGCCAAGGTCAGTCTGGTTATTTCTAATATGACAAAAACCTATAGGCTAATGTAATAATTTATACACAAACTGACATACTTTTAACTGTCTCCAGGCCTCCAGAGACTTGGTGTGTTTTCTCCAGTTGGACCATGTCAATGTGTACTATGGTCAGGACTACAAGAGCAAATACAAGGCTCCAACAGACTACTGCATGGTGCTCAAGGTACTGTGTGGATGTGTTGCCCTCTAGTGGTCACATAGGAGCATTAGAGATTTTATTTCCTTTTTATGGATCCATGTATTGCATTTTTACTATTTTTCTGTAAAAGACCATATAAAACCAATAATTACAATAATAACCAAAAAATGTGTTCATGTGCAGCATCCTCAGATCCAGAAGAAGTCACAGTACATCAAGTACCTTTGCTGTGATGATGTCCGAACCCTCCAACAGTGGATCAACAGTATTCGAATTGCCAAGGTAAAATTCACATTATGGTGTTTTAATCGGCAAGTAATATGATGCTTTCTGCCTTTATTGTTTGATTAATCGTGTCGTTTTATAAAGCATTATTTGTTTTCTGTTTTAGTATGGGAAACAGCTGTATATTAACTACCAAGAAGCTGTGAGAAGGTCCGAGGCTGCTTATGACTGGTCTTCCCTGTCATCATCTTCTATCAAGTCAGGATCTAGCTCTTCAAGCCTTCCAGGTCTGTCCTATCAGTACTGTTTAAATAGTATGGGTTTATATTATCCATTTAAATAAAATGTAGTGAACATAATTTAAGATTTAGTTAAAAATCCTACTTGATGACAGAGATAAAGCACTTCCTTTTTAAAAACTCAGCACTACACTGTGTAATTGTAAACACAACACTTGTCTGGTGTAAAACGACCATCTAAGTAATAATTAGAAAACTTCACGTCAGAAGCACTCAAAGCAATTCATACCTTTTGTCTTTTGTGTTGTAGAATCCCAGTCAAACCACTCCAGCCAATCAGACAGCGGCGTGTCTGAGCTGGCCTCCTCAAGCCACACCCGCTCCCAAAGTGTGGTCAGTTCCATCTTTTCTGACGCCTGGAGGAGAGGGACTCAAGGAGAGGTACGTGTGCTTTAATCAGACTGGTCACTAACCAACCTCCTGACCAGCATTGTACAGCATTTGCCATGATCCCTTGTGCCTTTTTGCTCTCCTGCCAGAGGTCTAAAATGAAGGGACGTTTGGCCGTTCCCCTTTGTGCAGGAGGAGGAGGAGGGAGTGGAGGTTAGACAGGAAGTGATGTAACAGGCATGTCAACAGTCCAGCTGCAGCCAGGAAAAATATTGACACTGTTTTAACTCTCTGCACTTTATAATCTGGAAAAACATTAGTTCTTACTGTGGGCAGGCCGCATCTCCTCAGATGGGACCTAGTGGCATCTTCCTGTCTCCTTGGAGATAGAAGAGCTACTCCAGGCAAAGCAATAACACCATGAAGACAAGCTGATGGCAGGCCCTCAACCAGAAAAGTTACATAGCGGCACCTTCTAAAAACATTACAATATAGACTGTATTATAGGCTATATTGGGGTCAAAAGGTTGTGCTTTTATATTTAGCTCAAAATCAAACCGCATTAAACATTATTATGGCTGCAGCTGTAACTGTTGATCTGATTTAACCACATTGTGTGACGGCCTTGGAATGTCCTAACCAAAACAATTATAAGGTTGTATAAACGTTTGAAGCAGACTAACAAAACATTGTATAACTGATTATATAGTTTAAACTGTCACTGTATATAGCACCATGAATAATACAAATACAGTATGTTTTGAATAGATCTAGAAAAGGAATATTTTGCACTTTGACGAATGAGAGCACTATGGTTAAACTTGATTGTCTGAATAAAATTTAATTGTGTATTCATTGCACTGCTTTGGTTCCCTGCATCTTGAACTGAATAGATTTGATTGTTCTTCAAATAGTGGGTACTCTTTATCATTACTCTTTATCATTTTTGATCTCTTTTCTCATGCTTGTCTTTCCAGATGATGAGGATCGACCCTATCAGTAGGCCCATCCCAGTGCAGATCCCCACGCTCTCCGCACAGCCGCTGTCTCTGTCCCAGCCCACCACCCCTCGCACCAGCTACACCGAAGAACTCAACTCCGACGAGTCTACCCCATCGCCCCCATCACCCCCACCCCCTCCACCTCCTCCGCCAGTAGAGCCCATGGCCCACCAGCCGACTGCTACCTCCTCCTACGTCAAATACAGCACACTGGCTCGCCTGCAAAGCCAGAACCAAGCACGGCCCGGAGTAGGTCTGAACACCGTGCCGGCGCCGTCGAGCAAGTCTAACTATAACACTCTTCCAGCGGGATACAACACCGCCCCACCGCAGCCTCCATCACCCCCGCCTCCCCCACCCCTCGCAGCCCCGGCACCTGGATCAGCCATGGCGGTGTTGAAGTATGGTCCTCCTAGCCCTTCTTCTGGTCTCCCCCCTCCTCCCCCCATAGAGGAGATACCCCAGGAACCATCCTATCTCCCCCCTCCACCCCCAGAGACCCTCGAAGAAAACTGTCTGCCCCCACCACCTCCGCCAGAGCCTGTTCAAAATTCTTGTGCCCAGCTCTCCAATGCCGGGTTGCAGCAATTCTTGGCACAAAAGTTTCCGAATATGGTTTATGATTTCAGCCAAAATGAGGAAAGCTCCGCACCCCCTCCACCTGAGTTGTCGCCGCCTGCAACGCTTCCAAATCTAAGACCCTTGTCACCCAATGCACCTCCCCCAGCACCACCCAAAACATTCACTAGCCCCTTCCCACCTCAGTCCGCTCGCAAACTTTCAGGGCCCACTTCTCTTCCAATGGCTCTTTCCCCAGTATCCCCCACACAGCCATCCAGTACACATGGGTCGTTCAAAAAACAACAAAGCTTTTCTACAGGTCATTCCCCGAATCAACCTCCGCCCACTCTACCCAAACAGCACAGCTTATCCTCCAAAAACCTCACTGCCCTCTCCCCATCTGCGTCATCCGCATCAGTGTCCATTGCGGCCGCTACCTCCTCATTGGTTAAACAGATTGTCAATCAGTTCCCTGGAAATTCCCCGCCCTCCTCTTTGCCAATGTCCAACTCCACTGAGGGGTCCAAGTCCAGCGCACCACAGTCTCCTCCAGCGGTCAAAGCCAAACCAAAATGGCAGCCAGGAGGGGTGGTGCAGTCACCGGAGTTCCCCCCACCCCCAAATGATAACTTCCCGCCACCTCCTGCTTCTAACAGCTCGTCAAAAACTGGATCTCCAATAAAGAAATCTCCCTCCTCTTCCTCCACTGGGTCAAACAAACGCGGGCCACCTCCAACCCCACAGAGAGCCTCGTCCATGCGCTCAAATTCAGGGGAGGCACAGGAAGAAAGGCCTAAGAAAGTGGAGAGCCTTGTGAATAAATTTGGACAAGGGGCTCAAACAGGGACATCTTCCAGTTCATCATCAGCAACTGGGTCTCCCTCGAAGGAGTCGTCTGCTCCTTCAGCTCCTCCCAAGCCAGGTAAACTGAACCTGGCTAATCTGCCTTTAGCTCTGCAGGGCTTACAGACTGGACAGCAAGCGGAGTTCCCCTCCCCACCTCCTCCACCTCCCCCCTCTCAGCCGCTGCACATTGACTCCCCCGATTACTTCCCTCCACCCCCCACTGACTCTGAGCTCTTCCCTCCTCCACCGCACCCATCTGAATTTCACCACCCGCCCAAAGTAGCGGTTGTGAATCCTCAGCCTCAAATGCAGCAGAATCCAACATCATGGAAACAAAGCTCTCTGAAAAAGGGTGCAGTGCCTCCTCCAACACTGTCTCGGCGCACCAGTAATACACCCCAGTATGACATGGTGCCTTCAATGCCCCTTTCTCCGCCCCCTATGTCCCAAACCCCGCCTCCTTCCTTAACGTCCTACTCGTCCTCTTCCTCCCCTGTGCCTCCCACCTCTCCTAAATCTGTGGGTCCTGCATCCCTCGCACTTAAGTCCAACTTCCTTGAAGACCTGAATCGCACCCTGAAGAGGAAGTCTGTGTCTCGTCACGGCTCGCTCACCTCCTCCCACCTCATCACCTCATCCAAGATGGAGCCCATGGCCACAATGGACGACATGGCACTTCTCCCCCCTCCTCCCCCAGAGCTCATGCAGCAGCAGCAGCAGGGCAGCCGGGGGCACTCAAAGACTCTGTCCCGCCATCACACGCACTCCCAGTCCGCTAAACACGCCAACATCTCAGGCTATGCAACGCTGCGGAGAGGCCCGCCTCCCGCACCGCCTAAAAGGGACCAAAGCACCAAACTGACCAGTGAATGGTAGAGGTGGACAGGTATAGAGAGAGGATCCCAATCTTACTGTGTGTAATGGCTGTGACGAGGAAGACATATGTTGTTTACCCTATAGATTCTACTATAGGAAGCATTACTCCCCTAACTTTATTTTCAATTGGTTTCTTAAAAATACTCTACCTCTATGTCAAAATTTAAAACCCACAACACAAGTGTCACAGGAAAAGTTACCTTGCAGGACTGAGGGTAAATCAAAGCCGTTACATTTTTGCCAATGGGAACACCGCTATCTCCTCCTCTAGGTCTCTGTTATTGGGCAAGGACACTGGCAACGCCTAAAGAAGTGACTTATCATGAAAAAAAAGTCTCAACATTTCATTCTAAATCATTTACCAGGATACAAGTAGCAAACCCAGTTTCCTAATCTTAATATAAGATTATACTTGTTCCCATTATTCTCATTATTAATATTACCAATACATGTGTTAATCCAATGAGTAAAACTATATATGTGTATATAATATATGTATACAAGCAAGCCAGAAATGTCACCTATTAAGCTTTTTCACAATGTCTGTGCAGCTTTGCAATTCAAAAGTATAAAACAAGACTTGAACGACAACAGCATCAAAGAGACATTTTGCTGCATTTGATCTGGTACTGCATGGAGCCGCGGCTAAGGAAGTAGCATTTCAGATGAAGGGATAAAACACAGAAGGAATCAGCCAAGAAGAAGTGAGGATGTAAATAAATGAAACTTGAGGAGCGGGGCACTCTGAGAAGGAGCATTGCCATTTTTAAACTTTTTGTGTTTTTATATAAGATTATTTAATACTGGAAAGATATTATAATTATTTTAAGTTTATAGAGTCAAAGAAGAATGAGTTTGACTGGATGTGTACCCTGTTGAAATGTTGAGTTACCAAACTTAACCAGTAGTTTGGGTTGTTTTGCCTATCCATTTCCTTCTATTTATAGTTTGTCGCTACAGTAATAACAGACACTATGCATAAGTTTTCCCGATCTCTCTCTTTTTAAATGTATTGAGTACATTTGACTGAACTGTAAGTGGCTCGTGTGAAAGACCACAGTTGTGTTGGGATTTCTCTGTTGGACTGTTATTTATGGATGAATCAACCCGAACTGTGTAATCTGAGCTCAGCCTTAACATGTCTGCAACATTTTGGTGCAAGTGTGATTCTGATACAGGAGACTATCAGGATGTCTGTTGAGTCATTAGTCAGTGCGATAGTTCTTTGTTTGCTAGATAGTACGTCAAACAGCCAGTCAGCTGCACTGAACTCTGTTTGACCGATCATCCGTTTTCTACTTAATAAACCATTCACAAATTTTGTCAGTTTAATGACTTCTTGTGTCTTTATTTAGTCTTGTATTTAAAAAGGCTTTATGGTCTTGTTCACAATTGAGTCTGTTTCGATCATCTTATTTTTTGTTAGGTGTTGCAAAAATATTGGTCTTAAATTCATGCAACATTTGGGTTCTTCCTAATAACCACAGATCTCATAAATGCTCTGTTTCTAGAAACCACATGCACAACTCAAGTAAAATTAATAAACCCCAAAAGTACAGATGTGACTTTATCCTCGACTAAAAACTATAAATAAAAATCATTGAAACAATGGAGTCATTGGGTTTCAGGTGTTGGACGTTTGTGTGAGAGTTTATTTTGATTGATTCACTGCAGCAGGGTGCCTGCAGCAACATGGTTCACATGGTTTGGGTTTTGGCGTTACAGTTCCTGTGACGATCAGTAACACTAGTACAGTATCTGTGGTCTCTGAAACATGCACAAATCATTTGTGGCACAGGAATCATGCCCAATGCGCAACTATTACAGTGTGATCTACTTAGTGCATCAATTAAAGGGACAGATTTTGGTGACATAATTGTTGTCTCTCTCAGTGCAGAGGTTGTGAAAAGTGTCTTGCTAAAAGGCACTTAAGTGGGTAATGGGGAAGGACTGCTGTTTTCCTGGTTGGCTGACTTCAGTTTCTTGTGTCCTCCTGGTTCAAAGATGAGCAGAATGACATTAGAAAAATTTGTAACAATTAAATTTATATTTTATTACAAGCATGGCTTATTGTTCAGAATTTACCAAAACATTGATCCACTGTGAGTTGCTGTAAATGTAAAGTGACTTTCTGTCTGTCCTTAGCACCATCACATTCTCTGACCGCAGCCCCCTCATCTGCTTCTCTCCGTCAGCCACAAAAATCTGAAGAAAACAAATTATGTGAGATTATGCACCAAATTAAAACTAGGATTTATGTCTGACCACTAGAGGGAGATGTTTAGTCAAAACTTAACAATACAGATATCAAGTGGACATATAGTGTGTTACTCAATTCCCAGGATCCTTCCTCTAAAGACCTCTTTGAAGCACTCCTCTGGAGCAGAGCCAAGTGCCCTGCTCACAGAGCCTGGAGAGCTACAAAAGGCTCCGGACGGAGCAGCTGCGCCCTGTCACGTGACCAGATCTAACAGCATTAACCCCAGCGTTTTAATAAATATCAATGCTTCTTGAAATGAAAAGTGTTTTTATGTGTCAACGTGCACTAAAACATGTGAATAATGAAGGCTAAGTGACTCTGTTATCGAGTTATTTAGGCTGATAATTAACCTAAAGAAATAAGTACACAGGCTGAAACTGGTGTTTTCGGATGATAGGCTAATTTTATTTCCAATCCCCTTCTTTAGATTTTGCTGCAAATGTCCTGATCTGAATTCATTTGATCTGATAAGTGTTAACTGCAGCAATGTGGACAAAATAGCAAAATATATTTTTTTATTGTAGAATGAGTTTTATTTTATTAAAACGCATATTACTGCTTAAATAAAGTTAGTAAAAAGTTGCTGTGCATTGTAGGCAATTTGCAGCGCTCCGAGTCACTCAAGGATCTACCTGTGCATCCTTTAAGAGTCAAATGGGGGAGTCGACTTGGTGGAGCTCTGATGAGGTGGATCTTTCTGAAATGGTTTAGAAGACAAGGATCCTGGCAATTGGGAAATACCCATATTGTACACAAATCCTAATTGAACGTTTTGTATTCCCAAGATAGTAAAAAAAAAAAGGTGACGTGCTCTTCAGATTACTTGGAAATGGTCATATTCTGTTTGTTGAAGATGCTGTACTCACATTGTACACTCTGTTGTTCTCTCTGAGGGGCTGGTCATTGGAGCAGTTACATTGGGCTGCAGTCCCTGGATCCCCTGGATCTCCCTGACGTCCTGGCAGCACATGCACTTCCACAAAAAACAAAATAAAATAAAAAAATGTTTTGCCACATTTAGGGATAGAAATGTTTGGATAATACAAATGTTATCCAAAGTTTTTCATGTTATATTACACAATTCAATAGTCAAGTGGACATACAATAATTATAGACATTATAATTGGTAAATAATGTGCTTTTAAATAATTTTTCATTCTTTAAAACAAACTGTTTTGTACCAAACATATTTACACTGCAAATGTCATAGTTATTATGGTTAAAGGCTTTTACATTAGTTCTTTACCACTAGTTGCTGTCAACAAACTACACATACAAACCTTGTCCTGGGCTTCCAGAGACCCCCGGCAGACCATGAAGTCCGGCTGGACCAACATGCCCTGGCTTTCCTAACAGCCCACGAGATCCTTTAGGCCCCTACAGAAAGATTCATTTGGTTTGTAAATCTATTTTTAAAAAGTCATAACACATAAATGCAAAAACACCTATAATCAGCCTACCACTGCTCCTCTGTTACCAGTTGCTCCCATGAGTCCCTGCTCTCCTCTGTGGCCCGGATCTCCTTTCAGGCCTGGGTCTCCCTGTAACAATATATAGTAGTAATTAAGTTCTGTGCATTTTATTATATTTACGAAAGTCTGGTTTTATGATATCTACCTTTGATCCAGGCTTTCCAGGGATTCCTCTGATCCCCTACAGAAACATAAAGCTACTTAACTGGAAAAAATGATATAAAATAAAAAACAAACACACCTTTTCTCCAGCTGGACCTGTGTGGCCTTTGGGTCCCATGTCACCCTGAGAACACACAAAATGAAGACACTACTGTTGTAATAATGTTTCATGGCATAGATGTTTCATAGTATATTTGTAGCATCAGATAGATGTGGCCTTACCTTAAATCCCTTGCGTCCCTTAGTGCCCTGAAAAAAAACCCCACAAATTAGTAAATTGTTAAGACCAAAAGCAACATGCATTAGCTGATACCTTTATCATACCAGGGGTCCCTATGTCCCCATAGAGGCCTCTCCATCCCCTCTCCCCTTTGTCTCCCTATAGAATACAGTTGGTAAAATTAAAACATTATAGATTGTAATAAAAGTAAATAAATTAAGAAGGAAAAAACTTGTGGTATATAACCTTAGGACCCATTTTTCCCATAGGCCCCTGTGGTCCTTGCTCTCCTTCTGGGCCTGGAACACCTGGGTCTCCCTGACAACAAATTAAACACATTAAGTAAATAGTGAATGAGTCACTGCGTACAAACTGTAACTCACTGCACCTTGGGCCCTCGGACACCCCTGCAGCCCTAAAGACATCGTGAAATAAAGCATCAGTTCAGAGTAAGGCCACATGGCTTATAGTGAATATGGGTAGGTATAATAGTACCTTTTCACCTTTTGCCCCAGTGATGTGTTCGGTTATGTCAACCTGAAAAAATACTGAATATAAATCATATTCCTTCTACAATATTTAAAGGTAACTTTCTGTCTTTTCTGGTAGAGTCTCTCAACAGCTTGCCTCATGGAGTTGTTTTTCCTTTGCCTATAATACAATATGCCATTAACCTTGTCGCTCAAACTTAGTCTCCATGGAGACAAGCAGGTGATACCACAACGCCAAGTTACAGGTCAGATCTGTGGATAGGCAACCCCACTCACAATAAAAATGTTATTCATAAGGTTTTTCTATCACAATAAATACAACTAGACAAAGATATGTTTAATGCTGTGGAACATTGCAGGCAAAACAATTCCAACTCCAGTGTGTCAAGCAGGTGGACTCCCCCCACCAGAATAGTACATCTTTAAAATACAATAACAGCCAGTACCAGTAGCTCTTGTTTTCGTTTGATGGAGGGGAACATTGGAGGAGGAGCAGGAGGTGGGATGAAGATCTTGCATTTCCGTGGAGACCATCGACTCAATGGAAATCCTATGGACAGACACAAACATCTGGTAACGATGGTAACTATGCCAACTGCAGCAAATCCTCCTTAAGTTTATGGTGTTACTACAGTGTGACCTACAGTTGTACTCACTGTGTGTGACAGAGGCAGCAGCCAAATGAGGACAGCACAGAGCTACAGCCCAGCCCACAATCAGAGGAGTAAACATTTTCAACCTTCCCTGCAAACACAACATTAAGAATACACATCTGAAGAAAAGCTGTCCTGGTAGAAACAACTTCAAAAGATGTACTGTTTTTTATAACACATTTTACACATATATTACTTCTGCTAGACTGTAAATGAAGAATCATAAAAGCAATATCCTACTGCAAGAGTAGTCTACTAGTCAGGAGAGTACATGTTCAAACACACATTCAAACAGTACACCAGTATATAAATACACTGAAGACAAAGCAGACTATATATTTTGCCTAAAGACACAACAACAGCATGCATCAGGCAGAGCTGCAATCAAACCACCAAGCTTGGCTTAGTGGGCAAATAAATTCTGCCATTCCAGTAATAAATCCTTGTATCCTAGTCCTAGTAACTCCTAGTAAACTAGGAATAAGGAAACAAATCTTTGATATCTGAATAGCATGAAGTAAGTATTTAGTATCTAGAACATACTCATTTACTTACTTAGTCACTCAAACAGCTTGCACTCAGACACAGTAAATAAATACAGAATTTATGTCTAGGTCCAATCCAGTAATATGCATTTCTTTCTTACCCTACATATTTAAATGACATGTGCCTCCTTACCTCAGATGTCCCTCCACTGTGCCGCTCAGACCCGTCCCGCAGTGGTGGTCCTGGTGCAGCTGCAGGTCCCTGGTCATTCTCCAGCGGCGCAGTCCAGTCCAATCTGCTGGGCTTGCACACTGGGCCAACGCTAACTTATCTCTATGGGCTGTGGAAAAGCAGCGCAGTGGCTGGCAGCTCTCTGCAGAAATAATCAGATAATTACCTTTACACTGAGCCAAACAGAAGCACCAGGCTGGATATAGAGGAGACAGTGGAATAAGTCAAGTAATACGCTCTTACTGTACTTCCATTAAACTACAGGCAACAAGCCAACATCCACAATGCTGTCCAAATGGGCTTTAAAATAAAATGGGTTTGTTGCATCAATACGAAGAACTAGTTTTGACCCAACAGGAAGCGTGTTGTTTACTTTAAGACGTGCATCTGACAGTCCCATGTAAGGTGATCAATAAAACCATAACCATCAATCCTTCAGCTATCCCTCACTCAAGAGCAGCAATGAAGAGCTGGATAGGACAGTACTGTGGGATCAGGCAGAGACAACCAGAGAGCTTCCAGGTTTAATTACATTAAGTAGAGGATATTTGCATCAGTGTCCAGTAAAAGTCAGAAGATTTTATATAGTGGGAACAAAGACAAAGTGACAAGTATTCAAGAAGCTTTAGTTAACATTAGCTCAAGAGGGGGGCAGTTATTACCAAATCTTAACGTGTTAAGCATTGCATTTTAGAGAGTACAACTAAGCCTTTGTATTAGCAGTAGAAATAAAAATTACTGGGGCATTAATGCTAGTGTGCTACAACATTAGTTTTCGCAGTCCAAGTAATTTACCTTGTCTTTTATTGAAATATTTAAAAGTTTAAAATACTGAAGTGAGGCATGCCTACAACTATGACAATAAAATGGAGTAAGGACATTCAAGAGTTTACAGGAAAATAACTACTATTTACATTCATATTGACAGCTGACATGTGAACAACAGGCACATGGAGTGGGTGAAGGCATTATGTACATTAGTAGGTTTTAACAATTATTGAGTCATTTGTAATTTGTCTTCTAAAACTAGCTGAAGCACAGCTATTTGTGCTGTGTTTTCATTCTAAAAAAATATTTATTCATCTTTTTAGCCAAATAAAATTTCAATATTATCTTTAAAAATGTTTAAACTGACAAATTAGACAAGTAGTTCTTAATAGGTTGAAAATAAAAAATGAAGGAACAGATTCTGAAGTCTAGCTTGTGCTTGGTGACACAACTCCGTGCAGTGATTGTTTGAATAACAGTCTTTCAGAGACAGTCTTATTGTGATTGGTTGCTTTTGGAAAGCTTTGAGTGCATCTCCAACACCACAGTCTTCATCATGTCTGCGAGCTGCTGGTGCATGAGGAGGAGTTGCTGAGGGGTACAGTGGGTCAGAGCCTCAGGGGTGGTCCGTCTGTGGAGGAGCTCAAACTCAGACACAAGGCATGGCCTTGGGACCAGGTCTTCCGAGGTCTGAGGGCCAGAGGGGGGGTGGATGGGTACGGAACAGTCCTGCTCCATCTTCTCCTCAGCAGAGATGGCATCAAACACCAGTTCTGTGGCTATAGGAGAGGGACATGTATTAGAAATGGGTTTTGAAGAACGTGATCATGTGTGAGCTAAAATAATTAAAGTTGGACTCATTTCATCTACTCAAGCAGAGTGCTAAAATGCAGTATGTGCAATATGAAAGTTTGTCAGCTGAACGTAGTAAATATTATGTGCATGTTTTATTGTTTGGAATGTTAACCTGCCAGGGGGTCAGCAGATGGAAATCAGCCCGAGGCCATTTAATCTGGCATTTGTCTAAATGTTCATTAATATATATCGTTCCCACTTTTCTTTAGATAAAAATAGGGATGGGTAATATGACAAAAAACAAAGTTTTAAACACACAAGTTGATATTTGATTTAAAAAAATTTTCTTAGTAAGATAAAATCTATATTCTGAAACAAACCTAATGTGTGTGGAGTTTTTTGGTCCTCAACCTGGTTTTGAGCAGTGCTGGCCTCCTCTACTTCAGAGGTCATCAGCTCAGTCTCATCAAAACTCTTCAACTCGTCCCCACCTCTGCCTTTGCGCTACAAAACAAAAGTTGATGTCACAAATCACTGTATATTTTTTGGTTACTGCATCTTCATTTACAAACCTGCTGTTCGTAGATTTTCAGAGCCTTCTTCACATTGGAAATTTTTGGTGAGCGAATTGGCAGAACCTTAACTTCAGTGGGCGTAAGAGCGCTGAGGTCACCAACGGTTTTGATATTTCTTGCTCTAACAATTTGTCCAAAACCACGAGACCTGAATAAATGCAGATACACATAGCATTATAGTAAAACAGATAATAGTGACATCGCTTTGCTCTCTGCTCACCACATGGTCGAGGCTATCTGCGGAAGCACCGCCTCCACAGGAGCAGTGCAGCCCACCAGAGCAGGGTAGATACAGTCTTTAGATACAGGACGAGGTTCTTGACCCATTTCAGAAATCTAAAAAAATAAGTAAATAAAAGATCATGTACCATTAGGTTTGTGCTAATAAAGTGTGAAAATTAGTTACTGTAGTTATAATACCAGGCATTTCTTGGAGCTTTTATAGCCAGGACTATTCAGATTTCTGGGACTCAAAGTGATTAATCCTTTTGTAGGTGTTGTGACAAACTGAAAGAAAGAAGAAGTTTGAGTACAAGTCTTTTTTGCTGTATGATGAACACATTTGCAATTTCTACTTTAGGCTGGGGGATGCTGCCGACACCCATCTTGGTTCGTCTTGGGGAGCTTGTTCTGAGAGCAGGGCTACGCCGGTCAATATCATCAGCCAGTTCCTGATGCTGGATTGGATCAGCAAATGACACTCTTCGTGACTAAAATAAAGAAAATAGTTATAGTCAGTTTATGTAATCTAAGTGATTATTATAGTCATAAAATGTAGCTTACCTTGACCAGGGGTGAGGGAGTTTCTGCCTCTAGTGCCCTCTTCTGGGCCTTTTTGAGAATACTGGTGGATGGCGACGCTGTGGGAGACCATGTCCCTTTGGTCCGACTGTTCGGGCTCTGTCCCGCCTCTGGCCCTGTGATTGCCTCCAGGTCCCTCTGCTTCAGTGGGGAGGCTGGGAGCCCATTGTCAGCTGTAGTTACAGAGGGAACCTCTCCAGCAACATCTGTTGTCCCTGTTATTTTAAGTACCTCAGACTGTTCTACCACATGGTCCTCAGTCTTTTCCTCACTCTCCATGACCTGAGCTTTGTCTTCATAGTTGTCCTGAATGGGTGTAGCGCCTTCACTGACCTCCACGGGTTGGTCTTGTGACCCTTCTGTTGTTTTTGTCTCCTCCTCCTTTGACAGCTCATCTGCAGTGGGGTCAGAGGGTGCCTCCAAAGGTTCAGCACCAGTCTCATTGTCTTTTTCTATCTCAGCTTCGGAATCACCACGGTTTTCATTTAAATGTGTTTGCCTTTCTTCAGTCACATCTACAGCCTCCACAGCAACCTCAGGGGTCTCCAAAGCCTCACAGATATCCTCCTTTTTAGGTGAAGGAGGTTGCTCTTCCCCAGTGGAGAGTTCAGTTTTCTTCTCAGGCTGTTCCTCCATCTCTGATGATGCAGTATTTTCAGCCATACCAAGACTGTTACATTGCTGTGGAGATTCTACAGTTTCATCTTCAGAGTGCATTTGCTGTTCCTCAGTCTTGCCAGGCAAAGGGTTTTCACTACCCGAACAGTTTTCTACCTTCATTTCCACATCTTTCACTTTTGGTTCGTCAGTATTTTCCTTTGGAATTTCAGTTTCCTGATTTTCCCCAGTATCTTCTGAATTTCCCATTGAAAAACTTTTACAGTTTTCTGTCTGAGATACGTCCGGACTGGCTTTTGAATCATCATCTTTACTTTTATCATCAGATACAAATGTTAGAGGACTAAGTCCATAGAGGATTTTAGAGCCCTTGCCTTTCCTTTTAACCACTGGAAAAGTTTGAGACTCTTTCAGCTCTGGCAGTGCAGAGTTACTCCGTGTGGACCGCCTGCTCATGCCCTGGGAAGACTCAGATTCCACTGACTGTGAACCGTCTTGGGAGTGTGTATTCTCTGGTGTAGGACCATTAGATTTCGTGTGATCTTCCTGCACCATGCTCCTCCTGGTCCTGACATTGGTCTTGGTGTTCCCGTGTGAACTGGAATTTGAGGGTTTACTTTGGTCCTCAGGAGTTTTTATTTCAGCAGGGTCAGATAAAGACTTGCTCTTTCTGGAGCTGCGGCGAGATTGGCTGTGAGAAGAAACTGACTGGTAGTCTTCTTGATTAAGCTCTTCAGTCATTTGCATCTCTGTTTCTGCATCTTGAGGCTCATTTGTGGTACTGTTATTTTGATTATTGATTTGTGGTTGACAGACAGTGAATGCTTCATTGAGAACATTGGCATCTTCAACTTGCGTACAGTCAAACTGAGATTTTTCAACCTCTTTTTCAAGCTCAACTTTGTCATCTGATATGCAGTCTGGTGTGGAATTGGGGCTTGGTTGTAAATTGTCATCTATTTTTTTCATTACAACAACAGCCTGTGAGCTTGGTGATAACTTGGGGTTGCTGTCATTTACTCTCTCCAACTGGTATTCAGCCTTATCTGTACTTTGTTCAACTGTTGCAGTTTCATTTTTTTCCTTCACTTTATCATCCATCTCTACGTCTCTAGGTGTTAATTTGCTTTTGCGCAGAGGTTTTCCCAATGACTGGCTTTCATTTTCAGACTGTGACTCCAAGTCACTTTGGCTAGACTCTCTCAAACTTTTTCTTCTTTCAGGTTTATCCGTGAAGTCCTGGGAACCACTGAAGAGTTTCACCTTCTTTTTCCCTGAGCCAGTTTGACTCAACTCCTTTTCCCTTTGAGTTCTTGTTCTCAGCCTCTCTTTGGTATCATCTACTTCCACAGATTTGCTTCTTGTGTTATGTTTAACTTTGACAGAACTAGACTTTTGAGAATCTGCTTTAACACCCTCAGCAGAGCGCTTTCTTTTGAGATGTGCAAATTTCTGATCTCGCTCTTCAGGATCTTCTCCGGGCAGCAGCGGTCGAACCCTCTGTCGGCCAGATCGTCTTGGCTCTCCCTGAGATGACCGAGAGTCAGCATCTGATTCTTCCTCTTGTTTTGAGGACTGACTTTCCTGAGAATTGGATTTTTCTTCAGTCTCTGTTTCAGTTTGTGTGTCTGGGATCATGTCCTCATCCTCAGTGTTGTCACTTGGAAGTCGGTCAGTCAGTTTCACTCCTTTAATTTCTCTGCCATCTTTGGGCAGACGAGGAGATTCTGGTGTACCATCAACTGAGGTCTTTGCCTTTTCTCTTTGCAAGTTCTGTGTGTTTGAACTGTCCACTGTGCAAGGAGCAGAGGGAGAAATCTTTTGACTATTTGATGTTTTAACCAACAGCCCTATGAATCCAGTGCTGGGGCTGGAGGATTTGCCATCTGCATATTTCTCCAGCGTGATGAAGGGTTGGCGCCTGCTTTTCTGTGGTGTACCCAACAACAAATCTGAAGACATATTTGGGCTGTCATTAGCTTGTGAGTTAGTTTCTTTAATTGTTTCCTCATTCTGGGCTGCCTCTTCCATAGACACATCTGTGGACTCGGGGACAACCTCATCCTGCTGGTCATCCTCACATGACTTCTGCACTTCGGATTTTGGACTGGAAAAGTCTTGGGTCTCCATTGCCACAACTTCAGTTTCACCAGCTCCATTCGTTGGCTCAGTTGTAGAAGCCTACAAAGCACATGTGCACCAGGAAAACACCATCAAAGGTTGAGTGCAGGAAATTCTTGGAAAATACCCACCCCCCACATGATTAATGTTCCCATTTAGTTTGACCCAAAACATGCTGGAACTATTACAAGAAACACCAAATTTACTTGTAGCACCATCAACAATACTCAACAGTACTGGAAAGAGAAAAATGTCTATTTCAATGGCAATATTTTTTGTGTATTCATGTCCAATACCTTCACAGAAGTCTCCACTTCTCTGGTAATTTCACCCTTTTGCTCCAATGGCAATATTTCCCTGAAAAAAACAATGCTTGTTGAATGTAATGTAGTTTTTAGAAAAGTCAGGATTAAACTGAAGAGCTGCTTTAGCTTACACTGAATCTTCCTGGCTCTGTGTGTACTGTGTGAAAACTGTGGTGTCCAGAGATGCATCAAGGTTGTTGTACATGGCAGGAATGTCCACCCTGAAAGTTAGGGAATACCACATAGAAAAACTAGGTCTATAGTTTTGTGTGAAGTGAAATGCTTGAAATCTGACCTTTTTGTTCGTTTCACTTCCTTCTGATGCTCAGTCAAAACTCGCTCCTTTGTCTCTGGAGGGATGAACACAAAGTCTACAGACGCCTCTTCCTCCAGGACATTTCGGCGAGGAGGTTTAGGAGAGCCAAAGTCTAGTTTTGTCTGAGAGGAGACAAATGAAATGTTTATCAACATAAATTATCAAGATTACAGACAAGAAACTCATGAAACTCATAAAGCATGTAATCTCTGCTTTTGTATAACAGGCACAGATCTGATATCTTCGGGAACTTGTATCTTATCACTCACTGAAACTAGTTTTAATGTTTTGCTGGAGGTTCGATCCTTTGCCTCAGGTCTCTTGCCCAAAAGCGAATCCCTCTTTCCCACAGAGGAAATGGGAATACCACTGAGCTTTGTTTCTAGTTGAGAGCATTCAGACTGGAAAAACAATAAATTAGTCCAAAATGTTTATATGAAGAAAATGTGACTGTAGGAAAAAACAAACTTACTGAATCCTGCCCACCGAGTTCATCAGGTACACTGACCACTTCAAAACCAGGAAGGATGATAGGTGTTTTTTGCTTCACCTGGCTCAGAACAGGTCTATAGCAATGTCATAAATCTGTCAGGCATCTTTTTGGTTTTTCAACAGTTAACTACACTAGCGCAAGTTCACTCACCTGAGCTCCTCCGGGTAAATGAGGCTGACCGAGTTTGCAAAAGAAGCGTTCCAGAACTGTGCGACAGTGGTTCTGAGGTGCTTGTTTTTGTGAGAGAAAAGGACACACAGCAGAGGACACAGTTGTTCCAGCAGCTCAGAGTTAAATGCCAGAGTAGAGCGGGACTGCAGGCAGCTCAGGGCCTCAGAGAGGAGCTTCTCCAACTGAAGAGTAGGAAGAGTGATAAAAACTATCAGTTATTTAGTATATCATAGTTAGTATATCATAGTGCTCCTAACTCTGAAACGTACTTTAGCCACAAACTGTGAGGTGAACTTGGCTGGTTCAGTGGCTGTCTGTCTGTAGAGCTGTGTGAGGGGCTGTACCACAGTGATGAGCAGCTCTTGCACTGCATTGGCCAGGACCAGGTTAGAGAAAAGAGTGGACAGGATGGACACCAGCACGGTGCCTGTGGCCTCAGACAAGGCGCTACATTCATCCAAAAACACGTTTAGACACTGAACCACCAGAGACTGGAATGTGGACAGGTTCCCCAAAACTTTGTTCCTCTTTTTCATCCAGTTCACTGGAGTGTGAGGAGCTGTGGGAGAAAAAGTGCACATTTAATGACAAATATCTTCTTTAAAAAAAAAACAACAACTAAGTTACACTTACATTTAACCTTCTGCTGAAAATGTGGTGTGTAGGGCGTGAAGTCCACACTCTCAATAATCACTTGGAGAATATTCGAAACCACATTTAATGTTGGTGGAACCTGGCACAGACACACAGAGAAATCCAAACTGATTGACGAATTAATAAGCAAATTGCCAAAATGTTAACAGTATCTTCCATTTTACCATAAGAGTGTCCTTGTCCAATGCAGCAGCCATTTTGGTACAGAGCTCCTCACAGCAAATGTTTTCCTCAGCAGTGATCACCAGTGCAGAGCAGCGAGCAAAAACCTTGTACAGCTTGGACCATATGGACAACATTGACTTTTGTGATGCCTGGACAAGTAGTTAAAAAGGGGTAAAAGTTAGTTTAGTTGAAAGACTGCTGTTCACACTACTTTTGGTCAGACCTGTTGGAGGGATGAGCCATCTAGGAGGTGAGTAATTGGAAACATCAGAGCAGAGTACATGGCACTGAAATTGTGTTCCAAAGCATCACCTTGGTTGACCTCATTAGACTGTAAAAATTGTTTGTTTTTTTAAATAAGCCACTAGAAATTAAGTACATTTCTCAATATAAATACAACTTACCTGTGTGACAGTGTCAGTTAGTGAGCTGACAACAACGCTCCACATCTTCCATAGCTGCTCTTTGTTTTGAACAGTACCTGAGCTACGTTTGATGGCACTTAACACTGCCTCTCCAAAAGCCAGAGGGGAGGTAGGCCCCGAAAGACCACAGTTCACCAGAGTTTGAAGGCACGGGACAAATCTACAAACATTCCATTTTAGGTAGCAAACATTTTAGTTAGCAAACTTTAATAAATTATTATCTCATTTTGTAATCTGACAAGCCCACCTCTCATCTTCAACATAGGCAGACAACATGCTGCTGTCAAAGAGGAGTTGAATAAGAAAAAGAGCTGGTGTCCCCTGTATAAGAGATACAAAATTAGATTTACAACATACATATATTAAAGCTTATACTAGAGACACTCACATTTAAAACATCCATTTTTCCCACTTGATATGAAGCAGAGCCCAGTACTCTTGGAGGAATGCCTTTTACAGTAGCCTCAAGCAAAAACTACGGCAAAACACGTAAAAAAAAAAAAAAAAATATATATATATATATATATATATATATATATATATATATAAATTATATATTAAAAACATTTTTTTAAATGTCTGAAAGCTACAGCATGTCTTACCAACACTCTTCTAGCAGGTAGAGCTTCAGACATGACAATACTGTGAAGTGCCTGAAGAGTGAGGGTTAGCACTTCACAACCCTGACGATCTTTTTTAGAGCCAACTGAAAGATAAAAAGGGCATAAATGTTGTGACATACTTTAGGAAAAAATATTTTTCAGGTAAATAGCAAGATAACCATCATCGGGGACAGCCCCCTCAGACTTTTACATCTTCACAAAGTCCATAATAACATGGACTCTCTGACTTAAACTGATGACAATGCTAGTGGGCTGCACATTAGATGAAGACGAGGTGTTATTCGTCTTTATCTCAGAGACGGAGCCCAAAGTGAATGCTGTATGTGGTACTGCCAGGCAGGACTCAGGTCTTCAAGAGCCTACACTCACAGCAGCAGCCACAATGCATGCTATTTAGAGAATAATTATACAGGTAATGACTGACTCACCCGATTCAATGGAGAAGTTAACAAACCGAACAAGACTTGCCCATATGAGTGTAAGAAGAGGCTCTGTTAGGCAAAACAAAACGTCACATTTAAAAAGAAATAAATGCCATTTAACACATCAAAACCATGAGTCAACAATTTACCAGGTGCATCTTTGCCAATCCCAATAACTCCATCTGTGACACACGTGATGAGCACAGTAGCATGTTTAGTAAAAGAAGATGTGCCAGACAGAAAGGGGTGCCTTAGGGGCTCTAGAAGAAAATCATTAAGAGTTTAGACAGAGGGTGTAATTGTATTTATCCTGTTGTATACTTGATCTTGTACCAAGGCTGAGGTTAAGATTGTTCTTTGCTGCAGCAGCTACAACCTCAGGGCCCATCAAATAGTGCAGGAGCATCTCCAGACCCAGGAGCTGGATGGCGGGGAAGGTAAATGGAGCGCTGACGCTGGAGTTCAGGTTTATCCGTGGAGTTCCCAGTGAGGTGTTCAGCACCATGGCACCTGCTAAAAACAGCACACAAACTGTACCTTAGTCTGATGAAACACTACAGATTAATGGTCTTTTATAAACGCAGCTTTAAAAAGTCATTACGTGTCATTAGAAAAGTACAAACCATTCTTGGGAGTGCCAGGTGCATGTCCTCCATTTGGAATTCCACCTCTAGATGGAGTTCCAGGAACTGTGACGAATTCACAGCCAATTGTGCTTTGGAGCAGAGGAACTGAAACCTACAAATTGAAAGTACGATATATTGTACAACATTAATGATACAATCAATTTTACATGAAGAGCAAATGTATTCAAAATGTAATTGAGTAAGAGACAGCCATTGTAATGCAGATATTACTGACCACATCAAAGTTAGGAGCCAAGTTTGGACCAAGTTGAACAACCAGGTACCACCAGACTTCCACTTTAGTAAGCAGCAGAGGCTCTGTCCTGACATTGATGGACGAGAGAGGCTGCATCAGCAGCTTCATACGCTTAGAGCTGCACAGAATATCTTCATATTTTGAGAAATATAGATTAAAAGCCAGGCTGGAAAAATTTGTATAACAACAATTTGTCCAATCAAAACAATCTCCAACCTGGATTAAGTGCAAAGTTGTCTATCAAACTCTTCCAGGCAAGAAAAGCTATTTTTTTAATTGTTGGAGATGAACTACGGAAACCAAGCTCCTCCAAATGTAGCAATGAGTTTATAAATGGACCTCCTTTATGTAAAAGCTGAAAACAATAAAAATGTGATTTAATTAAAAGCTCCAATTAACACCATTACAAAAGAAAACAAGGTCTTACCTTTCCAAGTAATCTTACAAATAAAGGCCAAAGCTTTAGAACATTAGTTTCATTCTTGGTCATGAAAAGCTTCTGCAGCTCTGGGATCAATTTCTGTTAAAAAAATAAATAAATGCATCTCATAATATAGAGGTAGTAGGACAAAATAAAGTACATCTCATATATGGAAACACATACAGTGGACATCAGTGGTTCAATGATAGCAGCCACTTGTGTCTGTTTCTCTAGTAGTAGAGGCATGCCCATCTCCAGTGCAGCTGCTGCCCTGAGGCGCACTTTAGAGGCAGAGTGCACCACCAGAGGGATAATCAGTTTGGCCCACCGCACTGCCCCTTCTCCCATCTGTGTGGGTACCTGCTCCAACATCCTGTAATGACATGATGTTTAACACAAAAAAAATAATAATAAAAATAATCTAATCATTTACATATAGCCCACTTCACCTGATCACAACATTTAGGGCTTCATGTTCCATTACAACAGACTGGATGTCCTCTCTGTTCCACACACTTTCCAATGCACTTAACACTGAAGGTACCTATGTAGCAAAGTTGCATCACTAAGAGTTAAATACAAAACACAAAATAATATATTATACTTATCAAAATACACACTTACTTTTGCTGCTAATATTTTTGAAGGAAAGTTCTGCTTGGAGATCACCCATAATGCTCTGGTACATGTATTCTTATCTGTTGACTTCACCACCAATGAGCAAAGTGCTGATAGTATTTCTTCTGCTAAGGTTTCTGGAAATGAAAAACATGTAGGTGAATGAAAATTTGAGATTTTGTACATTAATAGATCAAATATGTTTATATACAATACCTGACGCTCCTGAGACGACATTTGAATGATAGACACACAGAAGCCCAAAGCTTGAAGGGCAGCTTGGCTTAACTCCACATTCGTACTACTTATATGAGCCTTTAAAACAGACAAACATTTAGAAATATGCAAAATCCATTTTTGCTTAAATATGTATATAAAATGTAATGCTTACCAAAATAATTTTACCCAAACGGGAAAAGTGCTTTTCAACTGCAGGCAGAAACTGGCGCCCTTCTTCTCCACTCAATCGACTAAAAAAATTGTCAAAAATTGTTGGAACATTTGGTAAGCAGTTGTAATACTGTAATATTTTCCAACCAATGTGGGGTCATACTTGGCAATGGTGAGGTAAGCATCGGTCTGACTAGACTGTCCCGCAGTGTTGTCCTCCAGAGACTCAAGCAGAGGCAGGAAACTGGAGTTACCTGGCGGGACCGCTGTCGCCATCATTATGACTACTCTCCACAAACCCTGAAAATGCAGAGGAGAGAAATAAATGGTATGGTTAAATAGACAAAATAAAATTAGGAGTATATCTATTCTGGAAAGTCATTATTTGATGAAACAAGTAATAATGGCTGCATACTGGTGTAAGCTAAATCACAAAACAATAGTCAATAAGCCAATGCAATTCAGGAACCTACTTCAAAGTATTTTGTAAACAAGCCATTTCGATGAGATTAAGGAGTGACAAGATTTGGCATTTGTTTACATTTTGCAACAATTTCGACAACCACTAAATAATACTTCTCTGGTGCAAGTGAAATAACCATGGGTTCACTGAAGAAAGAGGCCATCACATCGAACAAGACCTGTGGCCCAAGAGCAAGCTAATGCAAATCTCACAATCAACCGTTTCCTTCTAGTGTCTGAGCAAAGTGCGGTTTAAAACTCGTGCTGCATCTACATGAAACCTTTAAGTAACATATGCTGCTAAAAAACTGACTGAAAAACTGCAAAAGTTTCTGAAAGCGTTTACATGGTGCGTTCTGCCTGTGTTTAGCAGCGTTAGCAGGCTGCATGCCTGGCTTCAGCGAACAAAACTGTCACTGTGAGGGTTATAACACACATCTACAGTTGCCCATTGAATGTTTTTTAATGCTTAAGCACCGTGATTATTTGTGCAAAGTTTGGATCAAGTGACATACAGCACTAAAGGGTGGCGAGAGGGCATGCATGGTACTTACAGGAGCTGTTTTGGGAACACTACATGCGACGCAACATCCACCGCTGTGTTGCTAGTCTAAAAGCAGAAAGAAGCACAACACCACTTCTGATAAGCTCTCGGAAGAAATATCGTTTTGAATAAATAAAGTTTGGTGGTGTTTATTGCGTCTTCCTTTAGCAGTTTCGTGTCGTTCTGTTGATCCCCCGCGAAACCTCTGGCGCCAAAGCACCACGCCGACGTACGAAGTTACCTCTGACCCCGGAGCGTCAAAACGGCCCCGCCCACTTTACCTTATATGGAGAGTTTCAAGACAGTTCAGGAAGAAAACATAGCTGTGTATGAAACAGTCATGGATCTACACTACTCACAATAATTAAGGGATATTGTTATTTACATGAGTGCTTTTCCTATTTGGTCTGAATTTTAATGAAATAAGTAAACGTTCCCTTTGATATTACTAATAACGAATGAGAAGAAACACCATTTTCATTAGTTTAATATTTACTACCCCAAAAATTTAGATAATAACAAAAATAGCCCCAAGTAACAAAAATTCACAATGTCAGTAGTGAGTGTTTTCACCATTTGCCGCAATGACAGCTTGACAGCGAAGTCTCATGCTCCTCACGAGCCTCATGATGTTGTTCTGAGGCAATACGTTCCACTCTTCCACACGTGCTACACGCGGTTCTGCCAGGTCACGTGGGGGTGGAGTACGATCATCCAGTCTCTGCTTCAGCTGGTCCCAGACGTGCTCTATGGTGTTCAGGTCAGGGTCAGTACTGGTCATACCATATGAGGCACTCTGACTTCCTGAAGTCGAGCTGTGACATTTCTGGCACGATGTGGTGGAGCATTATCATCCATGAACAGAAAGTTGGAGGTGTGCTGGTGGAATTGGGGGATAATGATGGGTTCTATGATGTCTGTGACTGAGCCTTCTACAATAACCAAATCTGTTTTGCGCTGACTGGTGATGCCTGCCCAGACTGTTGCACCTTCTCTACCAAAGTGAGCCCTGGGGACCATGTTGACCTCGGCATATCGCTCACCTTTCCTTCTCCAAGTGCAAGATGACCTGACACTCATCAGTGAACAGGATGGTAGACCACTGCTGCATTGTCCAGGTCACATGTTCTTGTGCCCACTGCAAATATTCATGGCGGTGTCTTGGTGTCAGTGGAGTCTGGCATTCAAACCAAAGCTGTGGAGTCGGTTGCGAAATGGTTTGTCTGGAACCCCTAGTACCCCTCACATCTCGTAAATAGGCCTGCAGCTGTGTGGCAGTTGCATAACGATGTCTGAGTGCATAGGTCCTTAGGTACTGGTCATCGTTGCAGTCTGTCACTCGTGGGGTTCCACTCCTGGGTCTGTACACAGTGAGACCATTACGTGGAAAACACAAAATAAGGTGTGTCTATCACCCCAAAACAATTGCCCCCCTATCCCAAAAGTTTCTAAAGTGAAACAAACACTGTATATATGACATTCACTCACTCTCTCGCAATATCCCTAACTTATTGTGAGTAGTGTATAATGAAAACTTTTATTTTATTATAGTTCTATGGAAACACTATACATTTCTGCAGAAGTTCTCTTGTGACATTCTTTTAGCATCTATTTTTTGCTAATATAGTTTAGCATTTCTGTCATTTTAATTGCCTATTCTGTTGTGTGATGTAGTGTTCAACTTTATTGGGATGCCCCAACAGACTTTGCTGCTTTGTAAACTTGCACCAGTTACAACACCCCGTGTTTAACAGGCCAAAATAAACTACATAATTTAAAGAATAAGGAAGCCATATTTTGCAAATAAGTCTTTATTAATAGAGCATAGGAACCTGCACAATCCAAATCTTTGCACAGTGGGGGTAAGCATTTGCATTAAATAGACTACAAAAAGTTAAATAGTACCACCGTAGGTTACATATTCATACAATATCAGTTGTGTTAAACCAGTGATGCATTGAAAGCTTTATAGCGTAGCTGGAAGCCTCCTCCAGTGACTGAAGCGTCAGTCAAAAACTTCAATGTCATCACGTTTCCTAAAAATACAGAAAAAAATATGCTTTATTACAGTTTAATTACAAAAAATCAATACATATTTCAGTTATTATTATTGGATGTATTATTATTATTTATTATTACTACTACTACCAGTTTATAAAGATTTGTCATCCTAAACAAAATAAATTAACAAATTAACATTATTATTAACATTATTAACAAGATTAAATGTTAAATGTGTAATACATGCGGCTGTGTGTATGATAATGTCATAGACCTACTCTATCTGTGATGATACTAATAATTATGTAAAAGTGGAAACTCACCTGTGCTTAAAATATCATATGGCAGATAGTCACCACAGAATCTGAAAGCAGAAAAGAGACCATAATGCAATAGTTCCTTAATAGTTCCACTATGTAACTTTTCTGGTGGAGGGTTTGCCACATGCTTGTCTCCACAGATATTACTGCAGTGGGTGAAATGTCCCACATTATGTCCAAAAATATATTTATCTTTATTCAATCATAGGGGTTTTTATTGCTAAAAAAAAAAAAAAAACCTTGAAAAACAAACATTCTCACTGTGAGGTGGTCACCTCTCCACAAATGAAACAATGCCATTACCTGCTCGTACCCATGGCGACATTTAATCTTAATGCTAATTTGGAACATTTCAAGCAAAGCAATAACATGAGACAAACAAGGGATGTACTCTCATCAGAAAAAAATTACATAGGCTAACTTTAAATTTGAATGTCTTATATTTATTTTTATTTTTTTATTATAGGTATATTATATTTTTAAATTGTATTTTTTAATGTATTTAGAAGCCTATGATTTTTCCTAACTAACCTGCCGACAAATCCAGTCACATCATCATAGCTGTCGTAGATTTCTAGATAGTCAGCCAGGCAGTCGGTGTCATCTTCCACGTCAAACTCCAGGAAGTGCAGGTTGATCCTTTGACCTAACTTGACCCGGATGTGCCAGTAGCAGATCTGTTCATCCTGGTACTCCTCAGGGAAACCGGGAGACTGGATCATCCTCTCAGGCTCTGTCAGGACACCCCCACACTCCTTGCCTGAAAAATGAGAGTAGTTATGAACGAGTCAGCTCTTTTGAATGGTTCTTTAACACTGTTTGGAACGGGATCAAGTTTTTTAAAAGAACCATATCTTTTTCTTTCTAATTTTTATGCATTTTTTTCATTGATTAACACTCAACAAACAAAAGAACAAGCACAGAAGTAGACCGGGCAACACGAGTGCGAGATGACGTCATGATAAGAGTTTGTTTTTCAAATTTCAAATGCAAACAGTCCACTCTTAGCTTGAATAATTTGAAACAGGTCTGAGCCCTGAGCCCATAGGGGATCAAATGAACAATGAAACTTCTGATTGCTGCGAAAAGCTGTAGATCAGATTAAGATCAGTACTTGTGGCCTTTATGTTTTTTGCAAACAGACTGCATCCAGATTTACAATTTACACCATGAAAATTCAACCTATTTTGCTGATTATTCTGTTTCTTGGTAAACAGCTGTGATGTTGTTGTAATCATTGAAAGTGTTTTGTTTAATGTGGGGGTCCAGTTTAAAGTCTGACTGTGGGGGGGCTACAGATTGAATTTACTGGAATGTTGCAGGATGGATTTAAACAACAATGAAAGAGTTTACTGTTTTTGACAAATAAGACACATCTGTTCAATTAGAGCAGAATCGCGTCGAAGAGGAACTGGCCAGGAGGTCATTTAGACAACTGGTCTGAATTATACTTCATTTGTAAATACGAAAACTGCAGAACACAACACTTACTTCAATACCAACCGCAAAGTCAAAATCAAAACAAGTAAACATCTTCAGGACACTTCAGGACACAAATAAACATCAATTTTATTTGTAGCATTGAGAGGTGCAGCTGACTTCTCTCTTCTATTACAAATTGACTTTCTTTCAATATCTGGATTAAAGTGTAATCAAATGAACATAATCCATTCACTTTCCTGATTTTGTACATTTACAGGTGGAGAGAGCTGTTAAAAGTTTCTGGACCACCCTGGCTCTATGCTATCATTACTCAGTCACTTCACTCAAGCTCTCAGCATCATCTTATCCAACCTCTGCCTCTTGTCTTTTTTTGGGCAAGTCCAAGATATGGGACTGGGAGGGACCAAGGTAACAGCTTTACAATAGGAATTCTTGTTCTTTCTACAAGAGGTCTCATCCTTCATCCTTCAAGTTTATGAATAGAGCTATATTTCCATTTCTGTTTCTTTTTTTTTTTTTTAGTTATGTTCTTTCTAAACAACACAGTAAAAGTACAACCTGTAACCATTCTGTCAGATTACCCTTAAAAGAATTTATAATAATGTGGTTGGAAGACTTAAACATGTATTTTTTGTTTGTAAGATCATACAACACAGAGCACTTTTAAATTTCTTACCATTTGGGTTGTAGCAGTACACATCCCATTTCTCGTTCTTGTTCAGCCTGTATCCGTAGTCAATGATGCCAATTTTTCCAAATCCACAGTTTGCTCCGGCCTTCACTATGGGATAGCCAACCCGACCTTTATCAAACCATCCAGCTGAGCACACATGGAACCCTGAAACGGAGAGAAAAGATTCTATCACGACAATGTTTGAAAACTGTCAAATAAATACTTAAGATTTATGTTTTCTGCCAGTGTAAAGAGACTTGTAATGAGCAAGGTGCTTTTTTTTTCTTTATTTGTTTGTTTTCATCTCCAGGGAACAGCCTATCCTTCAGGGTGAAGTGACTAGTGATGACTTGGCATCAATGGCTTAACCAGAGCAGCTGACTAGTCCACTGCCCACATCCAACCTGCCCACAGAGTGATGTAACAGTGCACCACCAAGCACTTGTGGAAAGAGGTTTAACAATCTGTTTTACAGTGACCTTTGACCTTGGGACACAGGAAACTCTCCCTAAAAGCATTCCACACCTGAACAGATGTATTAATTAGAAAGTTGCAGTAAAACATGAAATTAGGTCAAATGTGTAATCTAAAAATATGGTAGCAATCACTAAACGCTATGGTAGTGTGCCATTGTGTGTTGTGTTTAGATTTGGTCCAGACCTATCTCTCGTGCCGCCTCCAGTTGGTCATAAGTGGCCAGTGCGCCCCCCTCGTATTTGCAGACGGCAATGGCTTCTTTATACGTCAGCTGGTACCTCCCTTTGCGTGATTCCCGGTGGTAGACTCCAGCTGCCTGCTCTGTCCAAACACAGACATATTACTTGTTACTATACAGTAAAAGTACAATAATGTGACCATATAGAATGAACATGTGTGCAGTCATTTAACATGTCTTCACCAACATTTGGAAAACATTTTCTATATGTCAAATCAGCAACAAATGGCCCCAGTGTCTGTGTTTGAACAACTGAGGGAGAAAACATAAGGCAGATAATGTATTGCATATTCACTGTAGCTATATTTTATCCGTCTATAGGGGATTTATGCTCATGTTCTCCCAGAAAGAAGGTCTGCTGTACGGCCTGCGTGTTAATATACAAAGGGCTGTAAGACAAATGCGGCTAAACCTTGAAGTTTAAAAGGAAAGTGTTTTTTAACTTATGTATTTGAGACTCATGAACACCAAAAGATAAGATATAAGTGCACATGCAGCTAGTATAATCAAATAAACCATTTAAATGGTAGTAAAAATTGCCATGCTGTGTTCATGTGTTGTCCGCTCACTTTCCTGAGTGAAATCATTTCCTATGTTTGCTGGCAGCACTCATTGGTCATAAACATGCTACTTGGCACAAAACATAGCGGGACTCATGTTTAGACCCCATAATGTGTATATTTTTTTCTTTGTATGCACTAATGGACAAAACAAACCTAGGCATGCAAGCATATGCATATACATCATCCAAAATGTTGGATTACATTGTCATAAAACCAAGACTGATTTGAATGGAAAGTAGTTAGGTGCTCATTTTCATTTACAGCAACAATAACAAGAACTGAGAGAAATATATTAAAATGTAAAGTGTTGTTTTTTGTTGTTTTTTTTAAATTGACTCACCTAACCATATTGAATTATGAAATATGCCATTGCGGTAGCCCCAAGCATGTATTTCCCTCAGCAGAAGTCCCAGAGTCCAGAGCAGAGTCCAGACCCTCATGATGCAGTCCTGGTCCACAGCTGTGCTCTGCAGATGTGTCAGAGCTCCTCTGTTTTATACTCAACCCCACAGAGGAGGGCAGAGGAGGGGTTCACTACTGTTCTCTTGCGGGACGGGACAGTCTATACACACAGTCAACACAAATACACACAACATTTACAATAGTTAAAGAATCCATCATGCCTGTCTGCTGAATGACATTGTCAGTGATTTACTTGAAAGTGATTTTGTATTAAAAACTAAACATGTAAACAAAGTTGTTAGCACTCACAGCATGAAGATTCTTGGTTTTGACCCCAGTCCCTGTGGGGCCTTACTTTGTAGAAGTTGTTCACATATGTTCTGGTGGGGGTCCATCATATAAAATGTAGCTCAATCTTAATCTAAAAATCTTGTCTCCTAATAAATAAATAAAGCATGATGGAATACTGTAGATTTTAAATGATTTACAGTAAAGCTTATCTCTTACTTAAAACCTCTGCTACGCAAATCTATTACAACACAGACCACTGCAGAGCCACCAATTCCCAAAAAACAGTAGGCTACAGTCCTGTGCCAAAACAAGTCTTTTCCAGATGTTTCAAATCCCCTCAAAGCTCACTATACAAATACACAACAAGGACAATGCATCACTTTTCAGAACTCTAGACACCAATTTGTACTTCAACAACAGCAGCCACTACTCACAATGACAACTACAGAATTATACCAGATTAAGTGAAACGTGAGGCCAGAGTGGACATAAGGAGAAGGGGCTGCTGGGTAAAAATGAGCTTGAATTGGTTCCAGACGCAGTAATGATGCCTTAGGTCTCACTTGATATTTAAACATGTGGAAAGTTCAGGTCATAAGACACCTAATATACGCGACTGGTCAACTTCACTGGTGCGTGTGATGTTAATTATTATAATAATGAGCAGGCAGGGTGGAGTCAGTGGTTGGTAGCATGATTAAACAGATACCAGTGAGATCATGTCTGTTGTAGGAGTCATACAAGAATAAAAAATACTCACTTTTTATACAGTGGTCTTCAACCTGATGAACCAAGAGTGTACGGGAAGCGCTGAGTGTAGTGTCGACAGTAATTATGTTAGTAATGGTAGATGACACATTTACCACATATTACCCACAATTTCAAAAGTGTATGTTTTGTTGAGTGTTTTCCCAGGTGTCCCAGGCCTCTGTGACTTTAATATTTGGGAAGCATCGTCAAATACACGTCATGTCACAAAAAGTTAAGTCCCTAAAATTTACTAAGTTACTTAATTTCTCTCTATGGAGGCTACTGTCATTCAATGTTCTGTATTTGGACCACCAGAGGGTGCAGTTCCGTTCGACAACAAGTAACTAGTTCTTGTCAATCATGAAGGTCTAATAGACTAGAATTTAGTGCGAGTTATTGCCACATGCGACAGAATAATAATAATAGTTATTTAAAACAAAGGCCAACTGAAATAAGAATATTCCCAGTGCAAGACACGGCTGGTGTTTCCCAATGTTAATTTAATAGATCCATGGTGTTTCCCAACTGCCTGGATCCTGAGTCACGGGACCACTTCGAAGACATTTACGTCATCAGAGCCCTACCAAGGGGCGGTCCAATTCCCCCAGAGCTCTCTCGTCCTCCGCGCTCTTCTTCGTTTGGCTCGTTTACCAAGGGTGTGCCTGTAGATCCTTGGCCATCTCGGAGCGCATGCGTTTTAATAACATAAACGTTACCCCACAATAAAAAAAAGTAAAAGTAAACTCTAAAACGTCACTCTAAATCCTTTGTGTAGAGTACAGAATTTTTTTTTTTCTTTTGTTATGGACTCAGACAATAATAAAGAACTAAATATTTGCTGTTTTAGCACATTGCTGCAGATGACGCCAAATCGTTTGAACTCATATCAGGACAAATGCAGCAAATAAAGCAAATGTTTTAAAGAAGGGATTGGGGACAAAATTGTCATCCGAAGATGTTTTTGACTGTGCATCTATCTTCTTTATTTAATCACGTGTCTAAATAGGTTGATAACAATTTATGCACTTGGCCTTCATTATTCACGTGTTTTAATGACAGTTGTCACATAAAAGACACTTCTGAATATTTTTCAGTTGTAGAAGCATAGATTTTTATTAAAACTTGGATCACGTTTGATCTGGTCACGTGACACGACGTAGTCTTCTGGAGTCTCCCCAGGCTCAAACGGAGGTAACGCTACAGACCTTTTCTGACCACTGGATGGCACCATCGTAATACGTAAAAATCTATGCAGCGCTCTCCGACTCCCCCGTCGCCGTGTAAATATATTACTCTTGTCTTGTTCGCAGTGTCCTGCAGGGGGCAGTCATATTCTAGCAGTTGAACCGTCTCTGACCCTGTAAATCTTCAGCAGTGGTTTTTGCTGGATGAATGAAAGTCTGATTCATTTGGCGTTGAAAGAGAGCCTTATGTTCCAAATGTTTACATCAATGAAGTCAAAGTGCAACGTAATTTATGTTTAAACTCACATGACCACATCATACAACCATAACTGGTTTGAATATTTTAACCACATCCAGTAAGTCTGCTTTACATCGGATGCAACAAGGAGCATAGGATGGCCCCGAGTGTTGGGGCGCGTTATGATGGATTTGACGCCCTCGTGCCTTTGATTGCACATGCGACAATAACAGCATTCAGTACCCGGGGGTCATAGGTTAAAGCACAGAGACTTTTTGACAAAGTGGTTACACACGGCTGATGGAGCCTTTGTGATGTAGATCCATCCTGAATGTGTCGCAGTGGAGAGAGCAGTAAGGTCAGCGCGGGGGCGAGCGCAGACAGGCGGAGCTGCTGCTGTCACTAGTTTAGACCCGAACCAACACACCCAAAATCATCATACTACAACGACCTTGTTCCAACACTGTAGCATACGTATTTGTACAAAATATTAAGATTTAAAAATAACAAGACACAAGACGAGCATCAGCACTTAACGCACCTTCAACCCACATGGAGAGTGAAGAAAATGCTACATTATGAAATTAATAAAACAGATCGTGTATATTTTGTCAAACTGTCCTCACCTTTACCCAGACTGAGATTTCCATTAACTATCAAGACAGGTCAAGACTATGAAACGCTAATTGTGAGATAGGCGGAAGACAGTTCTTGATGGTACAAGAGTGATTGAATGGTGTAGCCAACATGTTGTTATGAACCTGCTGTAAAACGTTTTAAAAAGGCACAAGCATTAACATTAACAAGCAATAATGACAGAAATAATACTGCCTGTCATTTTAGTTTAACATCCAGTTAAAGCACTAGTGATTGTGCATTTCTGCAGATTTCACTTGCTCTGCTTTCTACCACTCCCTGGTTTAGCTGATTCCAACAGTCACAATGACTGACAATTATTGGATTTCTTCAGTACAAAGCTAATGAATACTTGGTGCTTACACAGCAGTCAGTGACATTCCTCACTTCCTATAAATACACCACCAGACAGTGGAGAAGTAAAAACTATAACTCATTAAAAATGGAAAAGACGCTGTTGTAGCCATTTTATATTTGGGGAAGTCTTAAAAACAGAAGTGAAAAAAATTCCCAAGAGAAATACTTTCTTCAGTCTCAGAAAAGCAGACAAAAATATAAGTTCTTTTAAGATTTTAACTTCTTTTAACATATACAATTATGTTATGTGCAATTCTGCTATATTCAGAATGGAATGAATGAAATAAAGGACAAACATACCAGCTTGGACCAGCACATACCACTTTACACACTGATGAATTTATTGTTGTCTTGTGCAATGTTACATCAAATGGTAGTGGACCGTAGTAATAAATGACCTGTACACAGATGCTGGCTAACACTGAACTAGTGGATAACAATCAGGCTTTTGTAAACTCTGCCAAATCTTACAGCAATATTTTTTTTTCTATTTCATTTCATATATGTACATACTGCACATACCCTTGTATTATTATATACATTCACTCACACGTAGCACACAACTCCAAGTCCCTGACAAGTTTTTTAGATGATCGCACAAGTCTAGCCTTCTCCCTCAGCTGCACACGCCCATAAAACAGTCCACACCAAGCCTTTTCAGTGGGAACACTGATTTAAGATCATGGTCAGTGTCTTAGAGGACTCAAAGTTTCCCCCCAGTCACATGGAGTTAATAATGTAGCAGCCATATGTTTAGATTTTTAATAAGAGGCCATCCACATGAAGGCAGCTACTGGTTATGAATACATCACAGGCTAGTTTTATTCTACTTTTTGCTTCCTGCCAAAATCAGGCATTTACAATTTCCAGTTAAGCACCAAATTGTATTAAAATGAAATTAATATGAAATTATGGCATATTAGCACCAGATGTATTTCATATAGCTATCCCAAAATATTATTGCTGGTTTGATTAATATACTGCTTGCAAAGTACCTCATCAGTAATGTATATAGGAACACACTTTGTTGTTAACTCTGATTAGACAAATGATTTTTGGAACTACTTCTTAATATTTCAAAAACACATTACAGACACTAAATGTTATGGATAGATTGTCGCTCCATGTTTTGACTAGCCCTTGGCATTTGACAGATTTTTTTAGTGCAAGTCAGAAAATTCTACTCTGACAGAAAGGGTGAAGCTAATAACGTCATGTCTAGTGTTTTTATAAGGACACACTGACGATAATAAAAAGTAGATTAAACTTGTGAACCCAAGGCTGAGGGAGCAATGGAAACTCTAATCTGATTTAAAAACGGGAGTGCAATTGGAGCTCACTATAATACACATTCACACATTATAAAAATGCTCTTAAATCTTTACAAGACTATTTTGTGCAAAATGGAGGCTGTATTGCTTAGTAAGTGTTAGTAGTACCACAACTTTGTGACAGCCATCTTCTGCATTATGTGCTTTGTACTGTTAAGAATATTGTAGTGACACATGTTCAACAAGATCCCATTAAATCCACACTTACTCAGTACTAAAAAGGCATTTAGTGTTTATAAAAATATACACATTTGGGCCTGTACACGGTGGTTGAATACGAGTGGACAAAATCTGAAGTTTATTCCCAAAAAAGTCTATTCCTGCTGGCTGCCTTTGCCAACATGCAAACACGAAAAACAGAAATCCCATCTCCACAAAGGCCACAGAAGTGCAGCTTTGGCACAGTCTACTTCTCTGTGACTGGAGGAGGGCAGTGCAGAGGAGAGAGTTTGTCCCTGGCTCTGTGATCTGGACCGGTCCTGCCGCGCCCTGTGCTGACGGATCAGAGCAAGCCTCCATTGTTGTAAGACTTCCCAAACATGTTGAAGTCTGTTTCCACAGAGTGCGTGGTCACTGGCTGCTTATACAGAGGGTTGGAGGCCTGAAGGTGAGAAAGACAGAGTTAGTGCTGGTTTATGGAGCTCAATGGTGGATGAGGACTTATGGACTTATGGACTTATGAGACTTATGAGGATAAAATGTAAAAAAAAAAACTTTTTCAGATATAGATTTGAAATATGTATCAATGGGAATCAGGCAAATCATCGGCTCAAACTTAAATAAGAGATAATGTGTCCAATTAAATTCACCTGTCATTGTGAATGCGTGTGCACATACAGTATATTGACCCTCTTGTGCACTCACCATTTCATATCTGGCTCGTGACCGTGCATTCTGAAAGCGCGTAAACTCTCTGCGGTCATGAATGGTGATAACCAGCTTCCACGCAGCGAGCAGCACCACACCGATCAACAGTATACTGCCCACCACAGCCAGCAGGACCGTGAGGGCATCCGGTCCACTCGCACACTCTGGAACAGGAACAAAACATATTGTTATTGACTATATAATTATTATTATACAACATATTATTGGTTATACAACATCTACCTCTCTTTATTTTATTTATGAATTTGTTGTGACCTACTTCAGGGTCAACTTTACCTTGTTATAACACACAATGAAACCTATAACTATACCTTTAAACAGTGATAGTATAATCAATGTGGTAAGCAATATATTCTTTTTAAAAGTAAATAAAAAAATGCTTAGCACACTCAAATGGCTGATGTCCAAAAGCTTTTTTTATTTTTAAATCACATTTCGGCAAAAAGCGTTCGTCAGATAATTTTTCTTGCTTTGGACCACACTATCCTTCCTTGCATTCGCACCTCTGCAAGAACTTCATTTGAGGCAATATATTTTTAGCATAACAAAACCTAAAGCAACATTTTAGAATCTCTATATTGCCTGGCTCACAAAAATAAATTCTGTACGAATGTGTTATGTGCTATACATTTCAAATTAAACTTCATCGGCTGGTCATGTGTTTGGGCTCAGTTTCAGTAAAAGCGCCAGTGCTTTAGACTGCTGGCTCTGAGGCAGCAACCACAATGGAAAACAACATGGCGGTTCAGCGGGAGGACAGAACAAATCAATCAAGGAGGTGTTGCTTAAATTGAAGGTTATTTATGCAGCCTTGATACTAAAGTGATGAACACAAAGGCAAAGCTGAAGTGTTGTTGCTAAGTGCACTGACCTGGCTCTTTAAGGGCAGTGAGGATGGATTGGCCGCTGGCGTGCTCAGAATAAGTGAATTTCATCACACAGTCATTCTCTGTCTTATAGAGACAAAGCACAGCACCGGGCTCATCTGTTTCTGTGGAGAACAAGAAAAACAACAATAAGAAAACAATAACAATTCATTAAGATGTTTAGGATAGCTGGTTTAAATCAGGAGACTGTCTCAAGGGAGATGTTACTGCCTGGAATTTTCTTGGTAATAAAAACACCTGCACTTGAAAAAATGAAAGCTATACAAATTTATACCATATTGTAGAACAAGCAGACAACCTTTTCATAAGATAAGCTGCAAAAGCCATAACCCATTTTGGCAGTGCAATCACAACAATTTAGAAGCATAATAAAAATGTTCTTTCTTCTATCCAACTAAACTAGTACAAAAGTATGCATCTCATTGACCCCTTTCTGCAAAGCCACATAGCCCAAAAAGCAATCTTTAAATATCGACAACATTTCGGTATTGCTGTTCAGTGTTCTTGTTTTCAATCGACATCCATCACCCAAACACATGCGTGAGGGAGGCTAAGGTCAGACTGCCCCCCTCCTCTCCCCTCCCTCTCTCTCTCTCTCTCTCTCTCTCTCTGTCTGTCCCGCTCTATTTCATGCACCAAGTATGTGGAATGTACATGTGGACTCCATTAGGACCAGTCAGATGGCTAAACTAGTGGGGAATGCTAGGAAAAACGTCAGATCTGGGCCAAAGCCAAAGTGAGGGCCCGTATAAGATCTTTAAAAAGTCACTTTAATAGTAATGGAGATTTTTCCTCAACATCTCCTCTGTGCAGCAGCATGACAATAGATTAAAGGTGTCTATAAATCCCAGTGTCCTTAAACATGTACTGTCAGATGAAGAGTGACAGTTTAAAATGTAATGTGATGGAAGTGGAAAACCTTTAAAAAAAGAGGGCATTTGTCTGGAAATCTGGAAAAAATATGGTGGATTAAGTCTGAAACAGAACAGATGTGGCGTGTGTTGTGTGCAATGGTGCGACAGTTTTTGGTAAAAACCTCAAAGATAATGTTCCAACTCATGCAAGTTGTCAAAACTATAACTTGATTTTTAACCAATTAAGATTAAATTTGCTGCTGCCTTTCTTAGTGCTGCTACTCCTTATGCAACTAGCAGTAGCTGTACTAAATATGTGCAGTCTTCACAACCATTTCAAGAGAAAATGCTTTGCTCTTACTTAGATATTTTATTTTATTTTTTTTTTCTAGATAGGCAAAAATATATAGTTATATATTCAAATATTCAAAGTAAATATAAAGTAGAATGTATTTTTTTTTCTCAGAACAAATGTACCATTTCTTGGGTGAACTCATTTCACCTCTGGTTTTGATTCTGGGACAATTTGGCAAAGTAGATGCACAGACAATCCCTTCAGTTTTTGTTAAATGAAGCACAGTTTTATAATTACCTCATGCACGTGTTCTATGTATCACACATCAAGTTACCAAACCACTTACTGACTGGAAATGCTCCACAACAACAAATCAATAAACACACTAATAAAACAAGAATGTAATGTGAGAATTTGAACTATAGCAGATGTGACACATGTAAATATTTTCCTGTGCCAGGACTGAGGGCACATGTTTGTGTCTGTGCAGTGTTTACTCACTCAGGGTCTCCACAGTGATGATCTCATCCTTACACAGACGCTGGCATGTCTGATTGTCCGCCAGACGCCCCGAGCTGAAGAGACGGCACTCAATACATTCCCTAGACCAAAAGAAGACCACTATAACAGTACAGTAATGTGGAGAGGTTTCTGTACTTAGTCTGGATGACTTTCAGTTGAGATGCTCTTAAAATTTTCATAAAATTGTAATTTTTTAAATGCTCTGTACATTGACAACATTTGCTCAAAGTAACCTGGAAAGGCTCCATCTGACACCATAACAGGCAGCAAGCAGGATATGTTTAATTTATGGTGCATTCTATCATTGATAAAGCTACTCCTAGTTGTAAAACCTCATTATAGTCACATGGTCAAAGATCAAACAACATGAATCATACATAATTGGGTTTTAAACAATTAGATGATCCCATGCAGTGCATAATAACTTTGATTTGGATAATAGGTGATTTTATGTTTATTTTTAGCCTGGATAACATAAAAGACCATTCACACAAATAGTGACTCCCTCTCTTCTGCATCATCGGGAAAAAAACACAACTGTGCCCACAATTAAGTATTTTATATTGTAAAAGGTGTAAGTAAGTGTATAATGTATAAATATACTATACACTTGCAGCAAGATCCTGGTCTCAAAAAGCCAAACACTGCATAGTTTAAATGACTGCTATAGAAACAGTCATATCTTTTCATTATTCCGAAATCCATGAAGAGATTGCGGCCCCCTCTCATAAGCTAACACTCTTCGGGGGTCAGAGTTCATTCCATTTAGACAACAATTTTGGATCCTTGGAAACACGGCCCATGTGCATGTAAGGAGGTCCGTGAAGAGACACAGAGAGCTCTTCACTTTATAAGAGTCCCGGGCATTTAACCCTCACCTCAGACTGCAGCAGCATCAGAGCGAGAGCCAGCTTCAAACAGACACACATACGGTTCATTTTTAAGGGTCACAAATGGCATGAAAGTTATCTGCACACTCTCTTATGACTGTCATCAAGCCTGAGATAAGTTAACTAGAGGAGGCATTTGGACAGACTATTATGAGTTTTAAAAATGCAACCACTATTGTAGGTCATTGGGTTTACTGTAATTTATGACAAGTTTATAAGGTTCTTAACTTTGTCTGTGCACTTGAAAATCTTCAAGTATAACAAGTAGCACAGTATTGACTTCCAAAAAAATTCATATTAACAATGATTAGTGTTTCGCTCATTAATTCTGCAATATTTCTCAGTATTGTGGCTTTTTAAAAATAATTAACAGTTATGTTTGTTTTAAGGCAATCAGACCATCCATTTCTCTGATTGGCTTATTCATATGTCAGTCATGTCTATGTTAACTTAACTATATATATCTATATATATATATATCTAACTATATATCTATATAGTATTGATAATTTGCAGCTCATGTCATCAGTACTCCATGGGGTGTGAAGACTTAGATTTTAATCTGAGTTTTATTTTAGCAGAATCTGTCCATAAAGAGCAGATTTGGTTGGAAGATGATTAGTGCTGTAAAACAAGTCAGACAACAAATAACATTACAGTCACAAGATAGCTAGCATTACTGCCCTACAAAGGAAAAAACATAGTAACTGCATATTTTTTTCAAAATTGAGAACACCTTCTTAACACGTGTCTTATTTTGTGACAAAGTTTTATGGCTCTGTCTCATTTTTAAGAAATCTTTTGTAGTAACTACACTTTTTTCAGTGATAGAAAGTAAAAGTGCAGTAACTGCAGCTCTGCACTGCACTTTTCTGTTGTTTTACTGGAAATTTTCATTTGACTCACAGATACTGCAACAAAATACAGACTTGAAACTTTCACAACTTCATTTTCAATACAAACTAAAGACTGTCTCCAAATACGTTATCTCAGATCACATCATTTTCTGTTAAGGTCAAAGGTCAAATGGTTGTGATGGTTGTGATTGATAAATATCAACGCATCATACCGTAACACATGTCATACATCTAAACAAAGCTATTTTTCTTAGTTTAACCATTTTTCCTTTGTAGGGCAGCTTAGCCAGCAGTTTTTTCAGTTAGTTAATCTCACTGTTTTGTTGAAAATCAAAAACCTAAACTAGACCATGAACGTTTGTATTGATCACAGGCTCTTTTCTGAGTTTTACAACAATCTTAAAATGTATTTACCAGTGTTTGCTAATGTGTGTATTGTGTCATCATGGTCACTTATAAAGAGATGGATAGAGATCCATGTAGAACACCCCCAGCATGATGTGACTATCAATAGGCAAATGTGTCAGTTTGGAGACCTGGGAACTTTTATTTTCAGTGAAATATGGCGGCTGATTAAAAACTGAATCTCAGAAATGTATAGTTTTTGTGAAATATTGTACCATTTTGAGGAATAATACACACGTCCCTCCTACCCCAATCCTCACCTCTTGGTCCCACAGGCGTCTGGACAGGTAGGACATTTCTCGCAGGTGTCCCCGAAGGCCCCAGGCTCAGTGCACTGGCAGCGGCCGCACACACAGCTGCCCCGCCCACTGCACATCTGTCCATCATCAGACACACACGAGCTGGTCTCCGTGGAGCAGTTACAGTTGTCGCCGATATATCCCGCATGGCACTTACACTCCCCACAGTGGCACTCCCCATGACCTGAGACAGGCAAATGCGTGTGAGTTTTTAACAGCTTTCACTTTTAAGTTTACAGCAAACAGTCATTGTCCATTAGTCAGGGTTTCAAGTACAGGCAATGTTCATGTTTTTTTTCATTACTTTTGGCAGTTTGCCCAAACCTTTTAAAAGTCGTGTATTACGCAAATCGACTCTTGTGAGGTTTTAGCCATGTTATAATGCAGTTACCTCCTCAAAAACATACCTGGAGCTGTGTTTTGTTTCATTCACACATGTCTGACTAACCCTATATTATTACTGTCTACATCTCCAAAGTCAAAATGCTCTGTTCCACATGATGTGATGTAGTGGTAGTTTTCAAGTTAACAGCTACCTTTTACCTGTGTTTAATAAAGACTGACAATTCCACGGCTGAAACTATACAAATGATTATAATGAAGCTGTATGGAGTTTAAAAACATAGTGGAGCAGAGTCTGTTCTGTTTCAAAGAAGAACTAAACCTAAACTCCAGGTATGTTTTTGATGAGGAAACATCATAACAGATCAGCAAACAGTGTAATTTATTTAATTACGGTGACATCTACTCGCATAGATTGATCCATTTGTGAACTGGAAAAAACATATTATTATTATAAGATTATACAGCAGGTAAATTCACATACACAAATGCAATCTTCCACAGCAAGAACATGCAATTTATTTTGCGCTTTTTAACTGTGGGCTTCACATTAAAACTACACAAATGTTCTATTAATTTTTGCAGAATTTTACACTACTCAGAATTTTACACTCATGTTATTAGCTATGCTGTTCTAGTCGCAGTACCATTGAAACAATATGAAACTTGATCTCATAAGAATGAAGACCTTGAATGCTGGCAGAAGAATTTAAATAAAAGTTTACAGTTTGTGGAGATGAGATGCCCTTGGATGACAACAATGAAAACCTTTATGTTGTTAGACAGAACAAAAAAGGACTAAGTCAAGACTTCCTGTTCAGTTTAACCTTGAACAACTGGAGCAGCTGCAGTGGCCTCACCAGCTGCGGCTAACCCCCAAACTGCACTGGTTCCACAATCATTAATCTGTGGTTTTGGCTCCGGATCAACTCTGACAATTAAGTGTGGCGATATAGTCTTGTTCAGCTCAGATTAGTCTTGGGTGTTGAGTCTGGCCACAACAAAACATGAGTGATTCTTACAGCTGTTTTAATTGTTGAAACATCACAATTGACAAGGCTGTTTCACACTAGCAGGCTCTGTACAAAGACACCAGTCATAAAACTACTGTCATTGATGGATGAGGCAGAAGCAATACTGACCAATACAACACAAGGCTCAATTATGCTACTGCTGTAATGTAGATTTCAGCTAAGAGTAGGAAACACATTGCTAAGACGACCAAAAAAAAAAAAAAAAATCAATTTCAGTGGTCCACATACATTGAATTTAATATTGCATCTTTTAATTTGGTGGGAAAAGTACACACTAAAGTACAAAGCCTTGTAACAGCTAGTATAAAGTGAAATTGTTTGGTTAAAATGTCCACTACTATGTAACTTCTCTGGTGGAGGGTTATATCGTCTTCATGGAGATGTAACCGTCTTGTCCACAATGCTCTGAAGTCATTAAACTTAGCAACATCTCAAGTCTGTGAAGAGGTGAGTCTACACACGTTTTTATTTAGAACAAAACAACAACTGAATAACTGTGAGAAACATAATTTTAATGCCATACTGTGGAATATGCCAGCTAAAGCAATAGCATCTACTTACTAGAAAAGTCAGAAAGTACACCTTTAAGGTAATGCGATCCCAGGAAATAGATTAAAAGCATGCATAAACTAAAGCTACATAATCTTAAGAAAGTAAAATAGGTCATATGTAAATTATGGCGCTGTTGATTTGAAGAGAGACTCTTAATGACTGCAGCAGACATTCTGGGACACAGGCATTTGGACCGGAATACCTCAGGCAGTTGGACCGGAATATCTCTGAGCTTCAAATACAAACATCTATGATACAACACAGACTCCCCAGAGGTCAGACGCTTCTCCGAGCCAACCAGGCCTGCGCTCACTCTCCAACTATCGTGCGGTTAGCATTGTGCAGAATGACAGACGAGGCATGCAATTCTTTCTAATTTCATAAAAACACAAAGAATTTCCATTTTCTAAGTTGTAGAAGAACATTTCAACTGGTCAAAGATGAAGTGATGTTAGGTGGCAGCTAGTGATGTGTTGTTCGTGAAAAAGTCAGCTCTTTTGAACGGTTCCTTAATGTGAAAAGCTGGAATTGGATCTATTTTTAATGCATTTTTACACTGATTAACAGTGAACCAACACAAGAAACACCACAAAAACACAGCAGGCAACACGAGTGAGAGCTTTGAGTACAAAAAATATATCAGGCATCATAATTAGTTTTTAAATTATTATTATTGTAGTGCAATGTTTTGTTTAAATCATGTATCATTTCAAAGGGTAAACACACTCCCACTCTCAGTTTGAACCAATTTAAACTGATCTAAGTCTTGGTCATTTCTCTCTGTGATTAGTTTATAGATAAACTCACTGAGTTCTCACATTGGTTTCTGCCATATAAATAAATATTAAAAGAAGCAGTCTTTTGAACGGCTCTTTGAAATTAACTAATCAAAACTGATTCGGATCCCATAAATGAGTCTAAAATCCCATCAGTATTTAGCATTGTGCAACATGTTGTCCAGTATGACAGACATGGCACACAGATCTTTCTAATTTCGCATAAACACGAAAAATTTTCCATTTTCCAAGTTGCAGAGGAAAATTTCAACTGGTCAAAGCTGGGTGCTGTGTGTGGACATGTGAGGCTGACTCATGGTGCCAGCGCTGTGGAGACATGCTCTGAAATGACAGGAAGTGTTTCTGGGCACAGACTGGAAGGAAACTGGGAGAGCTTAGTTACTGCAGGATTTGTGGAATAAAAAGAAGGGCAACTAAAGCTAATTTAATGTTTTGGGAATATTATTCAAGTCTGCAAAACAAAGGTAAAGTAAATAAATATCAATACAGAATAAATATAAATAATGAAAATCACAATTACAATTTTTTTTTATCACCAGGGTAAAGATCAAGAAAACATTTACATTACAGGTAATAATATAACATTACCAGAGCTCGTTCACTGTACTTCTGCAGCATCTAGCAATAGTTAAAATTCTGAAACCAGAGCGGAGATGAATGTATTTCCAGAGTAAAGGATTTTTATCAGCAGTAGAATGGATAAGAATTTAAAACTTTTGTTATCAATGCTAGCATTGGCCCGATTCTGCCATAATAAAGGCACATTTAATAACTGTAGATCAAATTTCAGTTCAACTTCTTTTTACTTTATTAAAAACTGCTGTTTTAATAAATTGCTATTTTATTTTGTTTTTGCTTTACAACTCAATGCTGTAACTTGTTTTCAGTCAAATCTGTGATGAATTGCTGACTTTGCAATATTTCTATTTTTGGTTGAGAGGTTAGACTTTTACAGAGACAGTATTCATAGTTCCTCATTTATCATGACCTCAATACCCTGTCTCATATCTATGGCCTGAGGTAATTACACTTTTGTGAAAACATCTCAAAAAAGAAATTTTTTTCTCTGTATATCTCACACTGACAGCGAGCAGCTAACCACAAATCACTACTTATGAGACAAGCTGAATCCACTCACACGAAATCACAGTTATTCAACACTTTGTGAGCCAATATCCGGGCCACACTGTGCCTTAAAACACACCTATAGAAGTGTGTGCTCTGTCCTCATTGGTGTGCTATGCTATTGTTCCCACTGGCACTGTACAAACGTGCCAGTCATTGTAAGACTTAAGCTGAGTCATGGGGGACAATGGCACCTTCAAAAGGTCCTGGTTTCTTTCAGGCTTCACCTTCAGACAAGCTTTCATCTAGAATTTTTTTTTAAATAAAACAAAGTTGCATTCTGTAACTTTTCTAGTGTAGGGTCTGCAAGGAGCGTCTGTCTCTACAGAGATGTTATTGGTTTCCCTGGAATGTTCCACAGTATGTCATTAAGCTAATCTGGAGACAAGTAGGCAATGCCACAAGGCTAAATTACAAGTCAGATCTGTGGAGAGGTGACCACATTCACGGTAAGAAGAAACAAAAACCCATGTAATTAAATAACTACAAGATAAATAAGTTTAATGTTACTGATTAATGCGATAATAAAATATTCTACACAATAACATCTCCACGTAGAAAAGGTAGTAGTGACCTTCCAACAGTAAAGTTACATAGGTCATCTTTAAGGAGACTCAAACCATTAAAGATACAAAAGGCCTTTGTACTTTCATAACAAAGACTTTTAGTTTAAGATCCAAACAAAAGTTCTGACTTCTGAAATCTCAGTACTGAACAATTCATATCCTATAATTTTCACCACCTGTATGTACCCATGCCACATGAAATATTTACTACCTTCAGCATATGAAAGTTTAAAGCAATAAGGTTATTATAAGGAATATATGGCACTAAATCATCCCAGTGCCAAATAAAGCACAGCCCTGAGCTATAATGTTTCTGTCTGAAGAGAACTGAACCCTCTGCACAAGTTGTTCTTAAGCAAATATTTACATTGAATATAGAGGAAATTAGGGTGTGGGTTATTTTTAGACCCAGATTTCACATGTTATTTTTCAAAGTGTAAAGTGCGAGCAGAAAGAGATTTTAAACAAACAGTTTCAGCTAATGCAACGTCTTCAATGAGGGGACATTTGGGAATAAACTAAATGTTCCTGGAGACTATTATTATTGCTGACATCTGTAGGCTGTTGTGAGATCATTCCCTGCCCATGAGTCTGAAATATGAGACAGATGTAAACCACGCAATATCACAACAAACCGAGTCAGGTGGTTCAAAACATTTTTCTATTTATGTAAAAAATAAACTGGCACTGACAAATTACATTTTTAATGATATAAATCAATGTAAATATACTGATTGTCTGTGGCATAATCGTCACAGAAACCAAAAA